CTGTTTAGATTCATAGATTCTACGATTTTATTCCGATTCCGCATTTCGATTTTTTCCCTTCAGTATTCCACCGATTTCTCTTCCGATTTCCATCTATTTCAACACGGAATGATTGTCGTCGCGTTTGGTACCCGGTAAACGGTTCCGCTTACGTTCGCTAACGAGACGAGAAAAACCGGCAAAGATTGATCGCAATGGGAAAAGATGGAGAGGAACGATCCGGAGCAGATTAGTGGTTTATCGAAAAGCAATCTGCCGATGACGGCGGGGAGGAAGGATAGAAGACGAAGGGCTGATGGACCAGATCGAAGAACGCGAGTTGCATTTCAATGTGACCAGCGCGTACGTAAAAGCGTTTGGTGGATTCCACGAGGGTAAAAACCCTCAATGGCGATCGTCGGCGAGAAGGGCCTCAAAGGCGAGCGGTGTTTTCGCGATTGCGAAGCGAGCCCCGTGGAATGTTGGGATCATCGCGTCGACTTTTCGGCTCCGAGCACGATCAAAAGTCGTTTGGTATCTAGGATGCCTATAATTTGTGCTACCTAAGATTGAGATAATATCAAATTTTCTATGATTTATATTTCAATCATGTAATATCTAATTATATTCAATTCTAAAATCATCAGATCTTCAGCGATTTGACACTTTTATTGAATATTCAATGTTATTATCTATTGAGATCTAATTATGTTCTCTTAGGACACTTAATTGTAGGTTTAGTTAGATCTCAATAGATAACCTCGAACAATCAAAGAAAGTGTAAAATCTATGAGAACCTGATGATTTTTAGAATTGATCTCATGAGACGTAATTAGATATTACATGAGGGAGACACATACAATGAGGTTTTTCCATTTTCCACCGGGTGGTCTGCAGTAATTGGATATTTAGAAGATTGATTGTCTTCTCATCGGAATCAGATTCTTATCAATACGCGAAATGATCGACGATTAGAGTTAATATGAAAAAGCACTGTCCCGAGTAAACAGTAAATAAAGAGATTGCATAATAAAATTTGATTTAATGCAATAAATTGCATTGAAGATATGTGTCTGGCCAAGAAAAATGTTTGCGAGAGCCATCTTATTTTTATCTATTTTTACTTTGAGAATTGTAATTTAATAAATTTCCAATTGGCTTGAGAAATATCTCCATGTCAGGTGTAGCTTCAGTATTATCTTGGAACACGTGTCTGGTTAAGGATGGCAAATGAATATGAAAATTCAGGTGCGAAACACGTGGCGCTAGGGCAGGCCTCAGGATCCAGCGTCCGAAGAGCGCGTAGATAAGGCACTTAGGTGACACGTGCTACGAAAATACACGGCGAAGTGCCGGCGATGGGGCGACAAGACAGAATTAGACGCGCGAGAAAGAGGCGCGACGTCCGACCGTTTGTTTTACGGCTTCGCCCGTTTCCACGACATCGAGCGCAATTTTTCTTGCCGCGTCCTCCTCTTCTTCGTCGTCCTCGTCTTCTCTCTCTCTCTCTCTCTCTCTCTCTCTCTTTTCTGGCCTCTTCTGGCCTCGCCCGAGCTCCTTTATTCCGGAGAGGGCTCGCGACCCGCCGACCCCGCGCTGGCGAGAGATTAATGCCCGCCTCGACACGATTACTCGCAATATCGCGATAATATTCTTCACTATTCAAAAATTTTGCCGCGAGCGAAAAGAAATTCGTAAATATGAAGCGTGTAGTATCGTTGCGAAAATTTACATTTTTCTTTATTTATTTTTTTTTTAAATAAAATACTTTCCTCAATGGCACGCAAAATTAGAGCTTATCTTGAGAATGTCTACATTTCTTTTTATTTTTTTTTAATTTTCTGTGATTCTGTACGAAGATCTACGATATATTACACAATCCGGGAAAAAAATATCCAATTCTAAAATGATCAGATCTTCAGAGATTTGATACTTTTACTGAATATTCAATGTTATTATCTATTGAGATCTAATTATGTTCTCTTAGGACATTTAATAATAGATCTCAATAGATAACGTCGAACATTTAAGAAAAGTGTCAAATCTTTGAATATCTGATGATTTTTAAAATTGGCTCTTATGAGATATAATTAAATATTACATGATAGACATATTTTTAATTTGAGATTTTTTTCCATTTTTTCCCCGGAAATCTTAAGAGGATCTTTCAGCCACCTTTTTTACCGATACAGTCAAATATAGTTTTTGCGCTTGTAATTCTTTTTATTAGCTTCTATGCACAAAATAATACCAGGATAAGTTGCGGACCGCATAGCAGAACATTTTCATACGTCCAGAAGTCTAATAAAAAAGATATTGGTATTTGAAATTTTCAATTTGTAGTTCTAACTAAATTTGAAATTGGCTTTATAAAATTGCAAAATTCTTCCATACGATTGAAGTATGTTCGCATAGAGACCAAACCAGGAACAGTCATCTTTATATTAAAAAAAGAGTAAAGGGCACATAAAACTATCACTTAGCAAGTGCTACCTAACCCTACTCATTTATAAAGTGATAGTTTTATTCTATTATATCCCAATAGGATATGTGCGGCAGGATTCAGCCAGGTTTTACAAGATTTCAGCACTTGTCCAGACATCGATGACGAACAGTGTAATAAATTGAAGGCAATGTACGACAAGATGTTGGATATCCAAAATGACGAGAGGAAAGCGTCCGAACAGCTCATAAATCATGAAATATCCAACTCGAAAAATTGCGGCACCCACATGGCGGAGAATGTAGAGGAATGTGTACGCGCAGAGGCATCCTCGAACGGTGTCGAGGACAGTTTGGATTACTTTGACAAAAAGGACGAGGAGCACACGTTGCGGCAAGCAGAGCGAAACAACGAGGTTTAAAATATTAACCAGGAACTGGCGCTGAAAGAGAGCCTCGTGTCGGAGCTCTTAAAGAGTGCCACGCAACAAACTGCGAAAAGTAATAGGAATGTCGTAGAGATGGAACAAGAGATTAAACGACTACATGCGGAAAAAGAGGAATATTTACAAGTGGTTCACACGCACAAGATGCTCAATATCTGTGCAGATTCGCACAGATACTCTCGATGGCTACCACTTTCCTTCGGAAAATTCCGAAAAACCCATCAGGGCTGTTCGTGGATTTGAACTCGGATCCTTCATGTTTTCGTTCATGATCCATTTGTTTACCTACTAAGCAGCGCACATTTCTCTGCACTACACTCGCCACACGCCATAAAAGCTAATGAAAAGTATTACAAGCGCGAAAACTATATTCGACTGTGTCGGTAAAAAAAGATGGCTGAAGGATCCTCTTAAAGAAAATTTTTAATTGTTGACATCGAGCGAGCAGGAATGTCGGCGCTCTATTATATTTAAACGCCCTTAGAAGGGCTGAGGAAGGTATCCCCGATGTTTCATTTACGGCGCGGACGGACGGCGCCGCGTCCGCAAATTCGTCAACAGGCTTCCCTCCGTTTAAAAATAAGACGTAAGAGCACACCATCCCCGCCGAGACGCACTTGCTTATTGGCGTCTCTGCTCATTAGGATAACCCGGGGGGGTTCCAGCGCGATAACTCATTCGGCTCTGAGAAAAAGTAAATAGAGCGAGAAACGGAGAAGCGCGTTACGCGCCGGCCGGGAATTCTGCGAGCGGCCGAGATTATCGAGGAAACGTTTATTTTTGCTCGTTAATTTCACGTCTCGCTTCCGTCGCTCGTTTGTCTCCCGCCCTTTTCATAATCGACGGCGGCCCTTTCGGTCCCGAATTGAGCGCAAGCAGGACATTTCTCATGCTCCAGGATAATCTTGCCCGTTATCACGACAATATTGTTATGAATTAGTTTAACGGGAGAAATAACTTGAGATTTACTTAAGTTCATGTAAATTTGTGTTCCTCGTAAGAATCTTTCCTTATAATATTATTTCAACGGGAAATGGCAATATTGAAAAATTTCATATAAACGGTTTTTCATTTAAAATTGGTGAAATATACAGGGTGAGGCATTTAACTTGCACATCTCGAAAAACTTGTAAATTATAAGTTGTACAAAAAATGGTTACATACAAAAGTTGCGTGACTTCGAGAAGGAGTTATTAGTAGATATAATACTTTTTCAACAAAAGAGGAATTTATGTAATAAGTATAAAGCCAACAAGAAGTTTGTCACAAGAGGTTTATCACAAATAATCAAATGTTTAAAATATACAAAGGAGATGCCTTTTTAATTATATTCGTACCTTAACTATACCCTTTTAGAAAAGTTTCTCTATGGTTTAAATAATATTCTAGTATATAAAAATTCGACTACTAGTGACAATCGATTACATTTCAAACTTAAATTACTTACCACAAATCGATACAACAGAATTGCTACAACATAAAATTATTTTATTCTCTTTCATGTAAAAATAGTAAATCCTTATAAATTTTCTGTTATAATACAAACTTAATATTCATTAAGTTACAAAAAATAGAAATTTTTAGAAATGCTAACATTTTTTATCAGCGTATAGTATTATGTCGAGTGATGATTATATCATCTATGAGAAATCCGCCAATAATATAGAGATCTGTAAATGACATAATAGTTAAATGTTTTAAATACTAATATCAAATACTAAACTATTCTTTTCTAAAATTAGTAATTAATTTGTCAGTCAACACAAACTTATGTAACGGTGAAATAAAACAAAACTTTTGATTTTTCATTATTCGCAATTAAGTCAACAGAATCATCGGTAACCTTACTTTGAAAAAAATCGTTCTTAGAGCGAAAGAAAACTGTTGATAAAATTGCATAAATTAATACCGCGAGATTCTTCTAAATCTTTTCAATCTTAAGAATTAGGAATTTGCAATTGGAAGCAGATTTTACACTGTTATAAGCGGAGCTGAAAAATGTCTTATTAATTAATAAAATAATCTAGCTCTTCCTTCTTATTTTACACTTATTTCGGCCGTCTTCATCCCCTCCCTCCTCATCCCCAGGAAACTGTCGGTAGAGCAGAAAAATCAATATTATGCAACGTTGCCATGTCGAACATGTCAAGGGGTTGAGTGCCGAAGTCTTTATGGGAAAGTGGTTTTCGTCGCGGGGGGGTGAGAAAAGAGCAAGGGAAAAATTCAAGAAAGTCTGATCACACGTGGGTCATGACTACGTCGTACATCGCGAGTATGTAATTCGAGTGGCCTTGGTATTTCACAGTTCGTTCCTTGTGTTCAGGGTTGCATGGGACGAGTGTCGTCCGTGAGACGAGTGTTGTTAATGTCATGCATGCTCCTCAGGGAACGTGAGTCCTTCCTGAGAATACTTTAGAATACGGTCGGCAAATTGGTTGATAGCTATTCAAATAAACTGCGGTTAAACGGTGCAGCGTATGTGAGCTCCACTTTCAGTGGACATCAGCCGCAACCTCGGAATAAAAATATTTAAGTGAAACCGTAGCACTTCGAACGGTCGAAAGCCCGTAAGCTCGAGAACGGCCTGAAAGTTCACAATGATCGAACAAATAACTAAAAATCGAATAAATAAAAGCAATAAATATTTATCGATTTTTTAGGATAAAAAATATTAAAGCTTGAGTTAAAACGAGGACATGACGAAGCGGTGTAAATAAGAGACCTCGGAGCACAAATGATCTCGTTCGGAAGCAAAAATTTCAAAAAGATTCTCAGAATAAATGGGAGAAAAAGAATATTTTTAAGACTAAAGGGAAGGGTAGGTCTATCCTAAAATAACTCACGGTCGAAACTTATTTCTCATTGTTTTCTCCGATAAGCAAACTGTCTCGAAATTGGGTGAAAAAAAAATACATTGTAGTTATATAAACTGACTCGTATGTGACGTCGAGGGGTTTTCCGACCAAATTGTTTCTTGATTTCCAGGATATCACCATGAGTCTCTGCCCACGGAGACGCTTTCGCATCACTCCTATGCGAGCTCTGGCGGCATTCTTCCTGATGGTCGTGCTGTTCTGGTATAGCCTCAGTCGGCAAGAAATTCCGCAGCAGCCGTGTAGCGTGCCCGAAGAATTTACCGAAAAGTTACACGATCTCGCTTACAGGTCGGCCTTAACTGCGACACTTAAAGAAAATTTGGAAAAAAAAATTAAAAATTGTGAAAGATACTTTAGATATCAGTTCAGGTTTCTTCTGCTCAATCGTAAGCCGTAATTTCTGCAATAAGTAAGAGAGATACACATAGTTAGCCAAATGTTCTTCCCTCAATTAGTTTTAAGTTGCATTAGTCAAATTTATATTCGTAGGTATCTCTTAAAAATTTTTAATACCCTAAAGCATAATTATTGATGCCAGATTAAAGTATTTCCTATCGAAAAATATATGTAAATATAATTCCCATAACTTCGCAGGGCTCACCTGGTCCTCACGAAGTTGGGCATCGTACATTTTCTCTGCCTGGGTGGCCTTTGGGGTCAAGTCCGAATAGGCCGTGCACTACCGTGGGCTCGTAAAGTGGAGCTATGTTTAGTCGACACGCTCCGCGACGATGTCTTAATCACGAAAGCCTTCCGGGAAGTTGGTCTGAGTGCAACTTACCTTCACGCGGCGGGGATTTACAGGATACAGGAGCACGAGGTCGGCGAGGACGCACCCAAGGTGGAGGTGGTCGTTTTCGAGGAGGACGCAGTGGTAAGAAGTTTCTCAAAAAAGAAATCTTATGTATTTTCTTTTTCTTTTTCAATTGTATCTGCGAAGTTGAAATAAATGGCAGTTCTTGAAGAACGTGTTTTTGTGTAAAACTCAAAATCAAAGAGACACTATGTTGTTTCGCTAATATTTGCTTTAAGCTTCGCATTCATGTCGGTTTTATTGTCCCTGTAAGTATACTAGTTATAAACTTCGGGCTCTTCCTTGCTTTTACGTCAAGAGCAATATCCGTAGTCAGTAAGGTTGCGTTTTATGCAACCAGCACGCTAATGCAAATTCGACGCTTTGTGTTCTGTTGCCTTCACTCTTTTACGAGAGCACTAAGGGAAACCGGAGTATACGATTTCTGTGCGCTTTACTGCGCATCCTGTATGTAGGACAAGCGGAAACGACTCCTTTGGCAGCGCCGATTTGTCTATAAACCGGCGACGTAGACGGTTTTATTGCCCCTCGTTTGTAGGAATTACGATCTGAATTGCCGAATTTGTCGGAAAGGCCATAATTGTACGTTACGTACCAAATCCATCTTAGATCTCTCGGATTTATAAAGCGTACGTGTCTGACGTCGCTGAAAACCACGTCGTCCCTAAAAGAATTTCTAATTTAAGACGGAAAATTTTCAAGAGAATTGAGAAAGAGAAGAAGGCAACGTAGAGACATTAACGCCTCGTGAACTCTCCAAAATCTTTGGAGTGAATCTCTTTCACTCGAATCATGGTGCCACTGACCACTTCACTCTGTCCGAGTGAGTGCAATAGAGCGAATGAATTCACTCTGAGACAAAAAGTGACGAATTTCACTCTTATTTTTAAAGCGAAGTCGTTAGCACTCGAAAATTCACTCCAACCTAAAGCACGGTATTCCGCCACTAGATGGCCGCCGGAACTCGCAAGTAGATCACGATAGCCCGACGTATAAGGCCCGTCACGGGCCGGGAGGATTTTCCCGCGACAATCAGCAGAATAAGCGAAACTGTCACATAAAGTATCAGAGTATAGACTTTCAGTACTGCTGTGTATATTAGAAACAGCTTCTGTATGATCGTAGTGGACAAACAATAGCGAAGCTCTTGTCCGTGAATTTTATACGGCTAATAATAATAATTAGATCTCTCGGATTTATGAAGCTGAAAACCACGTCGTCCCTAAAAAAATTTCTGGCTTAAGACGGAAAGTTTTAAAGAGAATTGGAAAAAAGAAGAAAGCAACGTAGAGACATTGTTAATAATAATAATCGATTAAAGTAAAAACGCAGCAACTCTTTTCAGAGTTGAAGAATCAATCCAGGTATAAAGAGTGAATAACGGCACTCTTTCGAAAAGTGAAACGAAAGTTGCACTCCAGTCGGACTGGCAGTATCTTCGTTATTTCTTCGAGTGAAAACTCACTCCGAAAGAGTGAGATTCCACTCGAAAAAGTTTAGAGAGAAGGTTCAATCGTGTTGACGCTTGCAGACGCAGATGGTGAGGAGGGTCGGCTGGACCAGAAGGGTCCTGCCTCCGGATTGCGAATTCTCGCCGAGTCTACAGTGCTTTCCGCCACAATTAGTAATACCTCCCCTACCGACGAAACAATTCGGCGGCCGACTGATGCCCGTGCCACGAGAAGGCATAGAATTACAGAAGTATCATTATCCCAACGACTGGTGGCTGGAGATCAAGCCCACTGACTGTACCGAGCCCCAAGAGACGAACGTGTAGTGTACAATGGTGGTGCAATTAGTCCTAGTGCGATATTAGAACACTGTAATAATTCGCTAGGTCAGGACATCTAATCGTTGTTCAGTCAGCTTGGATACGATCCAGTTATGGTTTAATTGATTTACAGCAACCAATTAATTAGCTTGGACTTTAATGAAGAAAGGTACCGAGGTATTTTGTTATGACCGAGAATACTTTCTATAGAAGTAGACACGATGAATAGAAAATGTGCATGTGATAACGACGGTAGATTTTGTGTTACCGTGTAATTGTTTCTAGATCTAATTTAGTCTTCTAAAAGGTTCGATCGACGTACACAAAGTGACAATGCAATTACTGCTTATAGAAAGTACTCAAGTGCTGTCATCAAATTAAACGTACGGTAGTATTATTGGTAGTGATTGACTGCGCTACTCGTAGCGATTGTATTGTTAGATGATTGCAAACAGATTAAAATTATAAGTCATCTTTTCTAACCATTTCCTATTCGTGAGAGTTTTCCATTATTATTGTCATATGCTATTTTCATCCTGCATTTTTCTCTTTGGTTTCTCTTAAGCTGGCTTTTAATTGTTAAGTGACTTTGTAATTAAAACTTTATAAGTCGGTAATTTGTATTTACTATATACAATTGAAATTATGGGACAACTTTGTACGCATTTTGACGCATTTTACACATCTTAAAAAAGTCTTTCTTCGTTATTTAAGCTGGGAATTTTTAAACGCAGTAACATTTACACTACCATAAGTGCTGAGAAGGTTAAAGTACATGTATTTGAATACATGTTTAATGTTCATATATTCTTCGAGGCGCAAAGTACTCTATACGTAATCGTGAAAATTTATAGGGAAAATATACAATGAAAGATAAACTACGTATACTTAAAAGGCATTGCTAACTTTAACTTACAATTAGTTAATTGTACAACTTATTTACACGTTTATATACAATGCGCTTTTTATATGAGAGAATGTCTTCTTAAAATGACGTACTTCGTTTAAGCGATTAATTATGGATAACTGTTACTTCAATAGGCAATCTTGTTACAATTTATTATAAGCTGTAATGACATCCGTAATTATTATTCAGTGTAAAATGGTGAGAAACAATAATACGCAATTATATGTATTCGTTGTACTTTTACTGTTCGCGCGTAAACTTGTGTTAATACAATTATCAATGTAATTGTAACAATACACCTCGTGACATTACAATTACATCCCGAAATCTTCCGGGGGTTGAATAAAAATCTGTAAAGTATATTAAAACGTTTTTTAATTTGCTTGAAAATAACTTACGATCGAAGTATCTTCCTCTATAATTAGAAAGAGAAAGTTCTCAAGAGTTCTCGAGTAGGATCTCAGCTATGAATAGATTGATGAAATAGACAACACAACAGCAACATCATTCAAAGCAATGAGCACTTCCACCAGCCTAAAGAAATCGTGGAAAGTAACCGTGTGCGTGCATTACCATGCGGTGCTTGTCGAAAGCATCTCGAAAGTATCTCTAATAGACGCCTCCATTCACTTTTCACTAACTACGCCTGGTACCACGGCTCATCAGCTCTAGCAATTTTCCAGAACGTACACCTCTCTGCGCTGTCGCTGTTTCAAGATTCAATGTCGTGATTACTTTCATAAAAAAATTAAAGAGTATTATCTGTAAATAAATGTTAACTTATATATTGACGAGACGACAAATTGCCGAGAGATCTTTTTGTGCAGATAATCTTTTTGTCCCTAAAGTTGACAATTTATGAAGGAATTTATAATATCGCGTTTGCAAATATTTTCGAAAAAACTACCGTTATCCTATTCTTGCACAATTCGATTGTTTGATATACAGATGCGCGTGTCTATAAGAAATACGTTAAATATTTCACAAATTCAGGTCACAGAGAAAGTATCTATTTTGTGCAAGGTGAGTCATGCATAAAATTTGCATGTAATTCTTTACTTGAATACAATCTTTTTATTTCTTGAACTATCGTATATTGACAATATCATTAATCTTTCCATTATGCTGTTACATGCATGCGACCTTTTTGTCAAATAATTTGTCATTCTGTTTGTCCGTTTACATATGAAATTAATATGCCCATTTTGATTGTATGTTTTCCTTGGAGAAACTCCGCTGTTTATTGAAGAACAAATTGTAATAATTTCAGTCGTAGCGTTGCGATGACGTTTATGAGCCATTATACACATGTTGCTTTAGGCGGCTCGAGAGAAATGGAAGGGAAGATTATAAAAGAAAGTTTCCTGCTCGAAGACCTCAAGTTTACAGTTTCATTTCGGTCCATAAAGGCTCCGTCCGGCTACGCGGACATTTCTCTTCATTAGAAAACTTAACGATATAATGTATCCTGTTTCAGAGTGATATAACAACCTGGAAAAATTTCAATATCTAACACAATTTTACGTTGTATAATTTCTACATGTGTGACGCGGAATTGTTGGTTGCAAAGTTATCGAGATGATTGAAGTAAAAGTTGAAGTAATTATTTTAGCCAAAGTGATAAGTTAACAAATAGTGATAAATATTCTTTTACCGGTATATGGAAAAGAACATGTTCACTAAAATAAAAAAGTGTATACAGCAAATGCTGCTCTAACTACACACGCATTTAATCGATAATTTAATTTAACTAAATTGGATGCATTGCAAATATAGTTATATTAATTTTACAAAATTATATTCTACGATATATACAAAAATGCAGGTGAGTTAATTAATTAATGTTAAAAGGATACACATCTTCAATTGCAAAAATTGATGTCAACTTAATTATACTTGGCGTGCGACACTACCGTGTCTGATTGTGACGTGTTGATAATAATTTTCAGTTATCTATGATTATTGTGCTTTTTGCTTTACTGCTGGAGTTAGTGGAATTTAATGAGACCTACAAAATTAAGTCGTATAAATATTATAATCCCCATCCATGGCGACGCCCACGATGGCACCCGCTTCCGAAACACCGAAAACGTTATCATTCCAAAAGCGTACCATCGTACAAATATCGTCATTACGAACCGGAACCAGACTACCACAGGTAAAACTGTAATTCGTTAAAAATTGTATGTCTGTTAAACATCTCGAGCATTTGTTTTCTCGTAATTTCATTCCAATCTTTTACACTTACATTGCTCGTATACATATTTAATGTATATATATGTTTAATTATTTACATGTGCAGATATACACCGTATCATGAGGAAACGTCTGACAGCGATAAACCTTACGTCATAGTCATACAACTTCCACAAAAAAACGGGAAAAAGAATTATCATTCGTATCAGCGAAAGCATGTTATAGATACTCCACGAGATAATGATTATATAGATGACGCCGATGAGCTGAAAGTGTACCAGCTGGGTAACTAAAAGTCTAAATAAAAATCAAATACCATTCGTCGGTTTTATGCACTGTAAAGATGTATAACGATTCGACAGTTTGGGTAATAAAGCCCTAAAGGCTAACGACATAAAGAATTCGAAGAAAGTTGAGTTGCAGTATCGATATTTATGTTTTGTATTTATTTGTTATGTTTGACATATTTTATGTGTTAATCTCTTGTTTAAAACTGTGCAATTTATAGTCCTGGAATTATTTAGAGAAATCATACTTTATTTACTGGGACTGTATCGTTTTATATTTTTATGATTTTTCAATTGAATAAGATTTATTTTGCGTTTATATGGCTTTTATCTGGATTTTGAAATTATCTCGTCGTTTTGTAATCAAGGCAACAATAGCGACGAGAAGAAGATCAGAAGCAGGATAGTGTGGCCTTATGTTTAATTACACTATATATTTTTTAATGTAGTTTTTATTTCTAACGCAATAGTCAACGAACATATTGTAAATAATAATAACATACAATGTCGCCGTGATGTTGATGTGTCGCTGCTGCAGTCCATCTTGCGCAATTTCGCTTATTCTCTTGACACAACGTCGACAAAGATCACTCAAGCGGATTCTTTCGCACTTTAGGCTCTTGTCTACGTCGGAAAATAGATCAGGTTTGCAAACAAGAATTTTCCAAGTTTGTAATATAGTTCTAAAAACAATTTAGCATATCAAATTTAAATATTATCGCAAATAACATTCGAAACTAACCGAATTATAGCAGCAACTCAGTCTTTTTCAAATTTTGATTGTTGCAATTATAAGTCGTTTTAATGCAATTCAAGTTTTTATACAAAATTTCTATACTTTCTGTATAAAACAGCTTTTACGAAAGCAACTAATGGTAATAACGGTAGAATATCAGTCTAATGAACAGTCTCGTTTGTTCCGACAAAAATAATTCTCAACAACGACGATCCTTTCCGACGTGCGCCTCTTAGAACTTCGTAAAACCCTTCGTAACATTACAATACTCTACAGCCACTTTTGTGTTTAACATTTACACTCGACTCTACACAGCCGTTTTATTTAATTTTATCCCTTCCACGGTTTTCTTTTTGTTTAATCGTTTGTGCGTCTTTATTGATCTTCTACGGCTTCACTCTCACACGCGGTGATTATATAAACATAGAAACATACAAACACACATGATTTTTTTTTCTACTACGTGTCACGCACAACGCATGTTAGCTTTTTTTTCCGTTTAATCTGCGCGAATAATTAAACTTTGCTTTTTATAATTTGCATCTCGCCAACAACTACGTTTTTCGAAGCACTTTATTGCAGGTTTCTTTTTTTTTTTAACAAAGCACTTATTTGTTTTTTTACACCCGGTTTATGCGGCTTGTTTTCCCATTTCACTTTTAGTTTTTTTTTCTCTTTTATTTATCTAACGCATTTTACATTTGAATAAGGGATGTGCAAATGCAATTTTCCGTACGCCGGTGTTGGATAGAAATTGCTGCGTGTTTTCTCGACATATCACATTTATCGTGAATGCGCATTTTATGCACTAATTTTATACAACGATGCCGAGCTGTTTACGGTGTTCGGATGTCCTTCACTAGCAATACGTGGCAATCAAGTGTTATTGTTTCACAATTGCGCAACGATTCATATATTTTAAGCAATTTGTGAAATCGATCCTTGCATATAAACGAATGAAAGGCGCGTTCGCACGGAAGCGCAGATAACAGAGCGGGATGAAAGTCTGTAGAGTTAGGAACCTTTGAGTGCAACGGTATCACGAAATTCAGAAATTGTCACGCGCGAAGGACATCCCGACTCACGCAAACGCGAGATATGCGTGTGTGATTACTGCGGCAGCTATTTACGCGCGTGTTTTTTTTTTCTGTATGTGTATATAATCAGCGTTTCTCTGAAAGACTTAATTATATCCGTTGTAATCACAGTCGATGTAAAAGTGTACACAGAGGCGATGCTCATTAATACAATATATCTATATTTAATCTTTCGTTTTACGATCTCCCCCCCCCCCCTTATCGCTTATTCCTACTTCTCCTGTCAACTCGTGAACGATTCACGTTCCTCTCAAATTCTCGATCGAATTTCCACCTCGTGGCTTTGACGGACGTCCCAAAGTGCGGTCGAGGGACACCGGAGTATTTTCCTTTTCTCAACGGCCGCCATCGCGGTTTCGATTTCACACGTGCGTGCGTGTCTCTGGTAAAGCGTGGCACTTGCAGGATATGAAAATCAATCGGACACGTCAAAACTACGCCCAGCGACTTCGTCCCCCCCGCGGCTCCGCGGTACTAAGAATTCTCGTGGCACCGAAGCGCGGTACCGTGGCGTTCTCTCTTCCCGAGGAAGTAGGCCATTCATCGGTATCGCGCCGACCGGAAGTTCAAAGGGTGAGTTTTGCGGCGTGCCTGAGGATGACGACGAGACCACGACGGGGCTAGGCGGAGCGTTGCGGCGACAGTGAGAGTAGAGGCACGCTGGCAGGCCCTTCCCCGTCGGGCGAGCGTCATACTGGGGTCTCGAAGGTCACCTGGAACATTTATTTTGTCATTTGTCATCAAGTTAGGATTAAACGGGGCCTAAAACTCCCAGGGAGGGAGCCGAAAAGGCTGATTCGTATAGGCGGCATTTCTCCCCGAAATTATAACGAATGGCATCACGTGCTGGCGGATCGGCGAGTCAAGCGCGAAGACAGAAACTTTTATTTAAGAACATCCGAAGATATTTTGTTTTATCGTTAAGCGAGATAAATCGTGTCTTGGTTATATACACGTGCACGTGTGTTGGATATCCGTTTATCAAGCTGTTAAAGTTGCCGAAGTGGATCACGGTCTGCTATCTCTAGATCGGCGAAAGCCTCGGTGCGCGCAAGTGTATGCAGCAGGGTCTATAGTTGAACACGTAAGATAGCGTAATTACAGCGTTAGTGTTAGAAACTGCAATTACGTCTCTCTAATATGGTGCATTAAAGGGTACCAGACAATTCGGGCACGTTTGCCAAAGGAGGGTCCGCGGATATCTTGATGTGTCTCGGTATAGACTGTCGTACGAGCGTGCTTTGTGCGACAATCAGAATAACTTCGTCTTGCTTGTAGTAGCGCAAGTGTGGTGCAGTTTGATTGTTTCGAGAGAGAGAGAGCAGGCGCTAATGACGGCGATAAGGAATGCATTTCTTCCCGAGCGATATGACAGCAATATACCCAATATGAGGACTTATTTAAAGAGAAAAATCTCACGCGTATAGAAATTTTATTTTGCAAATAGTATCAAAAATAATGAAGTGTCTAGTTTGCACAAATATCCATTTTTTAGTTGGCGCGACTTGTTGATATCAAATAATTTCAAATAATTAAATTATATAATTCATGATTGGATGGCGCTTATACTTGGCGTCTTTTTTTATCGTTTTTTCTTAAAAAGAGATTAGTTTTTAAGATTTTTATTTTACAGATCGAGTAAGGACCGCCGAACTTTAGGTCCGAGCAAGATTGGCGTAATAATTGTAATCTAATATGCGAATTTTATTTCAATTCATCATAATTTATTCGATGCTAGATTTAACGGGCGTAAACAAGCTCGCGCTCGAATGGGGTCTTCAGAGAAATTGAGTAGAGATATCGCTGCACGCTTTTTCGTTAGCTCGCGCTTAAAATTCGCGTGTGCCTTGCGTTGTTTGATCTAAAAATAGCCGCTGCATTTCCCGCGCCACGGGGCGGCACTCGACCCTCTACCATATCTCCGTAATGAAGTCAACATAACGAAGTCAATGAATGAAATCAACCTACTTCTCGAGTCCCTTTTCTCGATCGTTTCCTCTCGAGCTTCGGTGTCTGAGGTAGCAGGGTGTAATCGCCGCCAGCACCCCCGCTCCGTTGTCGCGCCACAGGCGAGTGGTAGGTCGACGCGGGTGCTCGCGGAGGCGGCGAGAACTGGACACCCTGCGGCAGTAACGAGTAGCCGAGGTTTTGGCTTTGAACGAACGGCGAGGTCGGCGGGAAGTGGTTCGGCACTACCGGCGGCCAGTACTGGTGCGAAAACCGGGCCGAGGAGTTCCCTGAGGACAGACAAATCCCGATTACCTTGGTACGGTTACCATTTAAAGGTTTAACCTTTCTAATCCCCCAACTCCCCAACGCTAGCAAACACATGTATGTCGCTCGTATGACCGATTATGTAAACCGAACTATCGAATATCATGGTGGTGGCGGCGAATTAAACCGCTCCAGGCGAAATGTTACGGCCAACACGGTCTTTGCATCTCCGTGACGTAAAATATTATCAAGATTATCAAGATCCGAAGATCCAAGATTATCAAGATCCGAAGATCCAAGATTATCAAGACCCAAAGATCCAAGATTATCAAGACCCAAAGAGCCAGAATGATGTAAAGACTATGTAGAATGAAGGGACCGCCGTTTGATTGAAAAAGAGTCGGCGAAAGGCTGCGACACTTACTGTCACCACGCGAGTTGTATTGCCTCTGCGTCTTCCAGGTTGCCGATCGAACCCTTCCGGCGGTTTCCATATTAACGGCGTCGACGCTGAGGCTTCTCGGGACCCCCCTGTAAGGATTCGACGTGGCGTTCTCACTGGCGGTCGCGACACCAGCGAGTTGCTCGTTAAGGGCGTACAACTTGGACGTAATGTCCTTACCGATGAGGGTGTTGATAACAACCTTGAGCAACGGCCTGTGCCGGAGCACCCTGAGTAACTTCATTCTCGTCCAACAGATATACGTACTGGGCTCCTCGGCTCGTATCGTCACCTGGAAGACGTCGGCGTCGCTTTCATGCGTGGCCTCCCATTCGGGCGAATCGACGAATTGATAGGCTCTGATGTAGTGCAAGTGTGTCCCGTCACACGTCACCTTCAATCTGGAATCAAGAGGAGAGCTCGATATCGGAGCCGCGCACGCAACGTCCCTGCGCTCAATAAAATCTCCTATCTCCAATAATGAATTAATGCAGCATGTGAAAGGCGACTGGGTGAAGAACACGAACATTTTTTAATCACATTTCCCGATATTAATGCGATTCTAGGAAAGTCGCGGAGATAAGATAAAAGGTTTCTATATTAATTCAGTTTCAATTAGCCTTCAATTAGGATCAGGCTTCTTTCGGCAAGAAACGCCTCGGTCCCGAAGAGAATTAACCTTTAATTAAAAGGAAGGATACCCACTTCCCACGCAAAAGAATGGACAGCCTCCTGTCCGCCGGCGTGACCCCTTCCGTCGCGTAGGTCTGGTCGGAATCCAGCTTGAGTATCCTCGCCTCCTTCGCCAGCTCTTGGAAATGCTTTTTGCTGACCTTGTAGGGTTTGAAGAGCTTCAAATAGAGTTCGGCTAGTTCGGGGCTGAGAGCCGGGGGCAGAAATCGACAGGCGAGTATCAAGGAGTGAATGCCGTTTAACAGACCGAGGGCCAAGCACCATAACATGGCGTCCAGAGCGCATATGGTGAACCCGGCCCAGAGAGCAGCCAGCATGAAACCCGCCGTGAGAAACGTGCGAAGAGCCAAGACGGAAGCCTTGAACGAGCGCGGCACCAGAAACGCAGCCGCGAAAAATAAATTTGCTGCCTGAAATCAGTAATGCATTTACGTTCCAAGACAATTCAAAAGATTAAAGGGCATTTTTTCAATTGAAAACCAAGGTGTGAAACCTTCGTGGAGCTTTGGAGAAAGAGATATATCGAAGGCGTCGATTGTTATTATTATTGCGCGAAGGAAAAATCCCGTAGACTCTAAGCGACTCTAAGCGTATGCTCACCTGGAAGAGTTTGTGCTGAGCAGCCTCCCATTCATCGCAATAGCCACCCGGTGACAACACCGTCGCGTTCAGTCTCTCGGTGACGTTGCTGACCTCAGTGCCGTTCCAGACGTCCAACCACAGTTCCGTGTAGTTGAAATCGTCCAGCGAGTAGCCGCCCAGATTCGGCAGACCGCTATAATTGAAGGTGTAGCCCTCGCTCGAATAAGTCGCCGCCGATGTCGACGAGGTGGAAAACGGCGTCGTCGTCGAGGACGAAAGGAGGCTGCCGCCGGCCGTCGCGGGTGAATCAGTCGTGTTCGCCATGTTTTGTCGCGGGCACGTCATACGTGCCATCACCTTTGACCCCTGTAAATCGAACGTTGGTCCCTTCTAAATGTCAATCTTCAAAATTTCATAAGAATCGTACACTTGCTAATGTACTCTCTAAATCGTGTATCTCTTAAATTGCTTTCCCACACGGGGAGAATTTTCTCTCAAAATTTATGCCGAAAATCAATGTGATCGTGGGACAACATGTGGCATTTCGAGGAACTTTATGAGAGTTTTTTGAAAGTTTAAAGTAAAATGTATGGTAAACTTTCAAAAAACTCTCATAAAGTTCCTCGAAATGCCAAGTTGTCCCGCGAACACGTGATTTTCCCGATAAATTTTAAGAGAAAATTCTCACGCATTTTACTTGTACGGTAAAATTTCGACAAACTCTCATAAAATTCGTTGAACCGTCGTGCTGTCCCACGATTACAATATTTTCAGGATTTTTAAAAGGAAATTCTCTCCGTGCACTATATTCATAAACGAGTCTCTAATGCTATTTTTCTTATAAAGTATTCTGCAACCAGTATTATAAGATAGAACGGAATTCTCGAAGAAAACCAATCACTGGCTTGCATGAATTAAATATGGAGCACCATAGAAAGCGTAAAAGTGTCGATTGTTGTCAATCCTGACGGTAAAGTTTCCATTGCTGAACGGACTTTGGCTGTTAATTGAGGTGTCATATTTTAAACAAGAAAGCTTTTCTTTCTACGAACAATTTTTCGATATTCGACTGCGCTTCCAATACGCTGCGGCCGATCTTCCATATCGGGGGGGAGACGTTGCATATATCCCTGCCCTTAATTTATCGAAATTACAGTTAAGCACACATTAAGCTGTCAGATTTACAGCATAAGCCAAAAGCGACCGGGCGATTAACGTGCGGACTATCGATTTGACTCTTCGTGATTCGGGATGCAATATCTGAGCTTTATTATCTTCGAGGTCGCGCCGCGAGGGCCTGCGTGACTTTAGCGTTTCGTTTCGCCGCCGAGCCGCAGATTTTGCGGGATATTTTCTGGCCGAAATGGCGAAAATCTCGAAATAGCATGCAGTTAAGGATCGGCCACGTCATCGCCATCAGGAAAGTTGATTTTATCTGCTTTCACGCTGAACTGTACAGAATGCCCCCGAAATTGCGGAGGCGTCCTCCAGCCCGCAAAACCGGACCGGGCAAAAAGCTCTTGGCACGTGCCTCTTGGCTGCTCTAAACTGTCGCCGAAGATACATCTGTGCAGTTTATACTCTTAAAGAACATATCGGGTTTCATATGAAACCCATTTCACATATAATAAGACGCATTTCTTGCTTCGATCCAACGATGCCACGTGGTTTCTTACTACGTAAGCCAGCAATTTGCATTCTAATAGGTTTTTTTACATTCAATGAGTGCACGCAATTCTTGTTCAGAATTAGAAATTTGATATTTGACGATATGAAAATACCGATATCCATCTACGCCGTGATAAACATCTGATTTGAATCGCGCTAAATCACTTCGTGTGTTTGCTGTTTTCGACGACAAGGAAAAGTACACGGGGGGAATTTTCTTTTCGAATTTACCATGGAAATCGTCTAATCATGGGAACGGCATGGCATTTTGTAGAACTTTATGATAGTTCTTCGAAATTTCACCATACATTTTACTAGTATTACATTTTACTAGCGAAATGTATGGAAAGATTTCACAAAACTCGCATAAACTTCTACAAAATGCGACGCTATCCCGCGATTACGTGATTTTCAGGGTAAATTTTAAGAGAGAATTCTCTTCGTGTATACCGTTTATATTAGTTCGGTTATTAGCTTCGGAATCGATAGCGATTCAATATAAAAGTCGCTGGTTCGCGCGATCTTACGGGAGCCGATAAAGTGAATGAAATGGCGTGAAAAAAGATTTCGATTATCTTATATTGCGAAAGCACGCTGTCGATACGGGCTGCGCAACCAGCCAGAGACGGCCAGGAATGCCATTTAACGTTCTTTCCGCTGACACAGCACGCGCCAATAATCGTGGATCCGTTCTCGGAATGATTCAATATTATCGTTCGATTTTCGATATTTCCGTCCGGGGTGAGCTGGTGTCGCGCCTCCGTCCAACGGAACTACGTCAGCCTACCCGGAAATTCGTTAGGACACTCTTTCCGGCCTGATTCAACTATCGTGCAGTGGATGGAAAATCCAGGATCGAGAGAGCGTGTATATTCATGGACTGTTGTTATCAGCGCTCCGATCCTTCTACATGTCAGATGTAATTTCTCTCTTCTACGTCGGGCATAAAAATTTAACGAAAGGATGTGAGAGAATCGCCAGCAGTTGATTGACGATAAAAAGAATCCGCCGGACGACTTTAGGCCGGCAGATGGTTTCTTTATTTAAATCCAATAAAAAATTGAATACCCTCGCATTTGACTCCGCAAAAAGAGAAGCGATATGTGGACCTAAAAATCTATATCCGAAAGAGGACGCCGTATTTAATTAACTGCTCCAATCGGCAACTACGTGCGGTCTATTCTTACAACAATTCGCGATATCGAATATGACTCGCAGGTATAAGTAACACTTTTAAAAGCTTACTCCGACAGTTCCACTTTGTAACAATCTCACCGCGAGATACCGTGCTCGTTACTCTCTGTACAAAAGTGCTATGCACCTACGGCCGAGATTCCCCAAATAACACAGTCGCTGTAGAAATGATATTTAAAGCAACGGTTATGTGGGTCGTACCGTAACGCGAGTTCTGGAGAGAGGGCTAATTACATTAAGAGCATCAAAACCGGATATTGTTTACGCTTGATTCATCTTTGATATGGTCTAGTTTTGCCTGAGAGATTTCCTGAACGTATTAACTTGATTTCACGTTCGTGCGATCCCTAAAGAGTTAACGTCTGCCTGCTGCAAGGGCAGTTCGTGCATTTCGTTATGCAAATCCTAATTCGCGGCTTAGGCCGCGCCGCGATACAAGTTTGATCGTATCTGGATATTCTTTCGCTTAATCTCGGCCGTGACGTGAGCTGTTCCTCGCGAAAGGAAACGCGAAGTAACTAGATAATCGGCTTTGCGAGCGAGATTTTAACTGCAGATTTCATCGGCTCTTGTTACGCCCTGTGCGAGTACTCCTATTATCTTAATACATTCTGCGGACATTTCGTAGGACGTTCTAATCACCGTGAAATCCTTTCCCCCTCTTGGAATTTTTATATTACAAATAATTGTGCGTAAGAGCGCAAATATATTTAGTTACGGCTGCTCCTCGGGTATTAACAATCCCCACGTATTTGTGAATTGGACGAAAAGGTGGCTCGAGAGCCCCAAGGAGAAATGAAAAGTCGAGATGACGTCAATTCGATGTCACTTCGGCCAAAGTATAACATAAATTTGGTCAATATAACATGAAATTGACGTCATCTTCACTTTTCATTTTTCCTCGCGAGCGTAGCGCAGGGCGCCTCTAAAACGATATGGGGGTTTAAAAAGTTAAATTGAATTTCTTAATTCGCCTCGGGGTGGTTTTTTTTTCAATTTCTTTACCGCGGTCCGGATGTTACCTGGGTCGATGTATTCTCGCTCATGTATTAATCCATCTAGTGACGTCACGGCGGTAATCCGCATGAAACGAACGAAATCGCCGGAGATACTTCTTACGAGCGGCCGAAAAGTTTCAAGGTCATCGTGCCTCTGTATCGACTTAGCTCGTATGCTAATTAAGCACGAAAGCGGGGCTTTCGTGACTAGCTGTGCTCACTATCGCCCCAGAAGACTTATTCGCGAGTTCTGCATGGGCTCGGCTGGGTCAGGGTAAATCACGTGACATCATAACAGGGTGTGGTGATTTACGTGAGGCTCTAAAAGCCTGCAACGTGTGCAGCTTGCATTTACGACGCGTCGAATTCTTACCCGCGCGAGGTTTCCGATTTTTCAAGTGTCGCGGATCGAGTTCTGAGAAGGACCTTTTGGGAAAAGGACCTCGCATGCAGCTCGAGACGACGAGAAAATACGTGTGATGTGTAATAATTTAAACAGTATGTTATTGCACGAAGTTTATTCCGACTGCTTTGAATAATCGTTATTACATTTGAATAATTTAGTATTAAATTTTTACCGCGAATATAATAGAACAAATTAACAACTTTGCTTGAGAGAGAAATCAACTTAAAAGCTGATAATGATTATCAGTTAAATGGTAGACTAATGGTATTTCAGGAAGTCCAATAACGTGCTACGCGCGTGCAACGTTGAATTAAATATTATCTGAACCGCGTTATCCGCTATATATTTTCTTCTCGATATGGATTTTTTTTTATTCAAATCAGGTTAATTAGCTTCCTTCAATTCGAGCCAACAAATTAGCGTCGATAACATATCGGGGGTGGGGGGGGAAAAAACGAGAAAACCAATACGCTCTCTTTTATTGCTCGTACCGTGAGTCCGTATGTAAATTGGGTCTCCTGAAAATATGAAAATAATCTTGTCGACGGGCAAGATACGGCTCGCGTGACGACAATCGCTTCCTCGCGATTTACTTCCGTTTGCCACTTTGTTCCGACCTCGAAGATGGTCGGCTTGTATAAGAAACGTCAGTTCTATTAATTTCGGGATATTTTTAGGAAATTAATAAAGTTTAATTGGAGGAAGTTTAATCGGGAATTTAAATTGCGCATAATGTTGACGTATAAGAGGAATAAATCTCTGTATCGCGAAAGAAAGTCCCGACGAGAGATAATTCTGTTATCCGCTTATTCTATTATCCGATAGAAATTCAAAAACGCCGCAAAGCCGGCTGTGTATAAAAATGCAGATGAGGAAGATGACTAAAATGCAACAGCGTCACGTAACCATTCTGGTATCACGTAACCGTTCCGGAATCGACCCGGAATAGCCGAGCGGACACATTCTGTCATTCCCGATTCGTTTTACGATGGACAGCGGCGGTTTGTCGGACAGCTTTTGAATTGGATTAAAGCCGACGGAGGGTTCGAAGCCGACCCTTCACCCTTCGATCCCTCGGTTCCACCGAAACGGTGGCCGGCAAGCCACAGGAGACAGAAACAGCTCCGACAGTGCGGCGCTTGATCGGTCAATCCAATTTATGTCGATGGGATTACCTAACTTATTTCCTTTTCGCTCTCCATAGAAATGACTCGCCTATTTTCAAGGATCACCGAAACTTTCCGCGAATTTTCGACGTTGTATCCGTTGCACTTTCTTTGCCTGCAGTTCGCTGAATTGGCAGCGCGTCCCCGGTCATCATTTGCAAGTTCGTAAAATAAAAATGAGCGGCTAAACCAATCTTAAATTTCACATAACAGAAATGCTGATTAAATTGCGCTGGTCAAGGCTAACAATGAAACAGTCGTTAGGGAACATTTTTTTCAATCTCTCAATTAAAAAACCGGGTGGAGGAAAAGTGAACCGTTACTCAATTATTATTTCGACATTTTCCGAATTCGTCTATATTGTAGACCTTATGATGAAAAAAAAATTACTTAAGAGATAGAGGAAAGTTCTTAATTATGCGGTAGGTTTCTCATATGAGATTTTCAACGCCCAAATTCAATCACGAGTCTTTCTCCGCAACGATTACACGATCTAACAATGAATTTTCCACTAAACAAATTTCGCTCCGAGGCAATAAAATCAACAGATGACGCCTATTAATTTAACAGAAACCGCCGCTACCCCATATTAGGAGCCCATGTGATAATAGGGGGCTTTTCTCTAGCAATGTCCGCAAATGTGAGTAAATCTCGATTCTTAGAAAAATCTCATTTGTCGAGTCGAGGCTCTCGCTGCAGCACGTCGGACTTGCGCTTGGATTTACGCCGGGAACACTTGTTGCCCCGTCAAGCTTATCGTGAGCAAGTCCATCGCATGTAAATACTTCTGCGCGACTTGACGACCTCTGTTTGGGACTCGTGCGCGATTACGTGATAAATCACAATCGTGTGTGGCAGCGCGCTGTCCTTTCGGCGTCTCCTCGCGTCGCCATTAATTTTCATCTCAACTTTCTCTCTTCTGGTTTTATGAAACGGGAAAATCGTTCGTACGATCGTGTTGCGTCAATTAGCGAACGTTGGCTAACACGCAAGCTGACCGCATTATCGTCGCGAGCTGTCGAGAAAATCGCGTTTCACTAATTTAAGCCCTTCGCTACTTAAGCCAGTGGCGAGGGGTTCACTACTTGACAGTCGAGTAGTAAAGCTCAATCGCTACGATCGAGGGTAAAATTCGATCCCGCGGATCGCGGGGTTGCTTATCATACAAAGCGGCGCTCTTACCCTAAATTCAAGGGGAAGAAAAACAAGTACCCGGAACGAATGTAACGAAATTTCCGAGAGGAAATGCGATATCGGGGCGATTGCCAGTAAAACGCATCAATAAAACGGAGGAGTGTTAATTCTCCGAACTGCGCGGAGGCCGAAGGTTACGGCATAGAAAACACTTCGACGGGGGTAGCGTTTACTCTTCCAGTAAACAGCCAGCAGCTGTCTACAATGTGGCGCGTGGGGTTGGCGCGAGCGCCGTACGAGAAGAGAGGGCTATCGACCCTATCGACAGCCACGGAGGAACCACGCGGTCTGCTACGTGCGACTCCCTTTCTTAAAGGTCGCTATACACTGCGACACACGTGTCGTGTCGACAAAATCGACTGCGAACGTCTTCGACGTTTCGCTCAGACGCGACATTCAAATGTGAAATTCAATTCGCGAGAGTTTTTTTGTTTTTTTTTTGGATCCAAGATGAAAAATGTCGACGCGCAGCTTACTGTACAGCTGCACGTACCAACATACGCGAGCTGCGTCATATTGCGAGACTCAGAAGCGCCCGTATGCAGTAGCTGGCTTTACCGCGAAATGTTAAATCATTCAGAACGTATTACTGCACGCACATCGATGAGCATTTCCTTCCTGATTGCGCGGAATGAATTATAAATTACAGCTATACAATTATTTAGTTTATTCAATTAGGTCTTTTAATTATATATATGTTTACGTGTTACTACAAATAAAGTTATTATACATACTTGCTACTTTTACAGGGGGGGGTGGCTTTCAGTTTGCACAGTTCAGAATTGAGGTCGATCCCTTTTATTAAAGCTTTTCCGTTTTGCGTCGCCTCAAGCATCGGCGAGGCTCCATTTCGCCCGTACACGCAGAATTCTTTGCGAATTGCGAAGTTAACGATTAGTTACTTGCAAGTCTCGTCGTCTGCTTTGCACGAACGTAAAGCAACAGGTAAATGCTCTAGCATCGCATGTCACAATTAATTTCTTTTGCGTCGAGACAGCGCGAACGCGAGCGATTAGAGAGATTATAACATAAGATAGCGATCTTAATGGCTAAAAAAGAGTATTTAACTCCCTGTAACGCGACCTTCTACTTTTGCAAAAATGGCACATCTGTTTCAGCATTTCCAGCTTGAATAAGACGTTCTAAGCCCGCGTAGCCTCGCAATTTTATTAAAAAAAAACCCGATTCACTTATTAATATATGCCGTGACTTACGTATTTAATGTCTTCTAGGTCCTTACCTTATGGTGGATAAGCGATATGTCTTTGGGAGTGCAAGATGATACACCTCAGTCCGCTGTGAGTGTGCGACGACAGCAGCGAACACGAAGGCGCTGAGCTCTCTTTGTCCTCGTCCGAATCCGCGACGCGAATGATGATCATTCCGCGCGACACCATCGCGACCGTTTTTTTTTTAAGCGAGCTCGCTGCGCAAGAAAAGAATCACGTAGATCGATCACGTAGACCACCGCAAGTAAAGTCACAACAATTATCGCGCGAGTTTCCCGCGATTTGCTTTAACGAAGCGTTTTCAGATTCTTCGCCGCACAGTCGCGCCGACGTCTGAAACACATTACACGATTTACAAATCAGCGAGGAACTAACTTTTTCCTTAAGTATTAAAGAGCTAAACGAGCGTCGCAATCTTGCCTCTTGACACTGCAAAGTTCCGATGAGTTGACGCAAGTTAGTTTAAGTTTTGATAATTGAACCGCGCGAAGCGGTTATAAACGCCGATTACTCTCCTTCGTATTTATTTTAATTAAAACAGTTAGTTGACAAACGTAAGTAAGTGGTTCTTTTTAAACCACTTTTGAGATTCTTTCAACATAAGAGATTTAGAAGAACGAAAGCGAGAAAGAGAGAGAAAATCTTCAATTATCGTAACTTCAATTTTTTATTTTTATATTTTAATTGTTTGAAAAAAACTGCCTCTCCCTGTCTCTCCCTGTCTTTCCCTGCCTCTGCCTGTCTCTCCCTGTCTCTCCCTGTCTCTCCCTGCCTCTGCCTGTCTCTCCCTGTCTCTCCCGGGATTTTATTTTTCAATTAAGAGTAGTTTAAAGTAAGTGTTCTTCGAAAGAATGTGAGAGAAGCGTTGTCACTTTGTTACACAGCCTTACGAGACGTGAGCTCTCATCCGTCATTAGTGATGCGATAGCTCGCAAACTTTCATTCGTAACCCAGTTATATTACGCTGACTAACACACAACGCGGCCACCAGCTCAAACGACCATTATCACTCTTCATAGCCCACGCGAAAGTCCTTAAACACAGATTATCCCTTTCGGTATCTCGTATCGTCCCGTACGTAACGTCGGGTGTTCTTGCCATCAGTTGCAGAACTGTCAGAATTAATCTCCATAAACTTGCCTACATAAATAACTGGAGTTATTAGAAAGATAAACTCTGACATAATATTCAGTGGCTAAACCTCAAGTGCATTATTTTAAATCAATAGCGATTACGTTTTATTTCTCTCTCGCTCTCTCTCTCTCTCTCTCCCCTCCCTCCCACCTTTCTCTGTGTAAATCGTTTGTGAAGCTTTCCGATTCTTGCTGCTATATCGAGCTTTAAAGCAACCTGGAACCAATGAACCACACGACATTGCCGCAGCCTCTTGCGAGAGCAACAACTACGCGTCCAAGATGCACGTTTTCATCACGCTACTGATCAATAGCAATTATACATCACGCTCATCAGCTCTCTCATCTGCGACCCCGCGGATTTCCCACGCGATTGCACGCAGCGATACACGTTGCGGTCCAGCTGCGAGATTATCATTCTTAAGCACTCTCTCTTTTCGGCCTCGCCAAAAGGTACTCGAAAACGCGCGACAGCATCTTTCCCCCCCTCTCCTTTCTCTCTTTCCAGCATCCCCTGTTCTCAACGTACCGGATGTTCCGTTCGCTCGTCAGCAGGGATACGGCAGCATCACCAGCCTGGGAAACGGGTGTTCGTGTTCTTCACTGGAGCACTGTTTACACGGCATACTGGACGTCATGGTCACTGCCACCAGAAGCGAGGAAGCGCGATTCTCGGTGGCAGCGTGTCGTCCTTCGTCCTGTCGACGGTGGCGGTGGCGGTGGTGGTGGTGGTGGTGGTGGTGGTGGAGGCGGCGGCGGCGGCGGCGGTGACCGTAGCGGTGGCGGTGGCGGTGATGTTCTCCTGCTCTTCCCACGGTATCCCCTTCGCAGAACGCGGCGGCTCATCGGTGGGAGGACGCGACACCAAGGACGACGGCCACTTGTGCGCTCATCTCCGCGCGGGGGTCTCCTCTTCCGGCGATGTGCGCTCGGAGCAGCGGAGCCAGAGCAGCCTCGCTCCTACGCTGGTCACCCCGCGGAGCTTTTCTCACCTCTCTTTCCGCCTGCCCCCCGTCTTCATCTGCCCACCTGTCCACCTTCAACCCCCTCGCTCGATCGCGCTCAGGCGCGCGTCCCTCTCGCTCTTAGCCGCCCCGACCTGAGGGCGCGAAACTGCACGCTCCGGGGGTTACGCTCCGCACGACGACGCGCCTCTGGGGGCTCTCGCGACACTAAACCACCCTTCGGACTAGCACCACGCCCTCCGCGTAGGTGGCACCACCGCTCGCAACCCCCTTTTCGAGGCCGAAGCACCTGCTACGAGTCTCACTCGAGTGTCCTTCGAGTGGTCTTCCTCTTCTATTAATCGAGCTGCTTCCTCCCTCTCTCCCTCTTTTCTGTCCTTCTGTCTTCTTACTCGTTATTCCCCTCATGTTTTTACGTGTAATTTATTCCGCCCTTGGAATTGGCTTTTTCGTAGTAAATATAATTTATAAAAGAATAAAATTCAGGGAAGCAAAAGTCTCTTTTAGTGAATTCAGCAATTGGATTTACATTATAGTTGAAAGAATAAAAATACACGCGCTCACGACAGCAATTGTGAAATATATACGTATTTATTTTTAAAATTAACTTTGAGTTGACTTTCCGAAAGTTTTACTACGGACATTTGGGAATTTGTACAGGGTGAGGATAGAACGAATACGGAAATTAACGAAGCGTTCTTCAATATATCGTATATTCTTATTTATTCTCTTATAAATAAACGTTTTAAAGTTTGGTTAAGTATGTATTTCTTTTACATCTGTAGTAAAAATTGTCTTGGTAAGAAAATCTAGATTTCTGCTACGATCAACTTTGATATTTACAAAAACACTATAGGCGCATTATATGTATTTCGTGTAGATGTTGGATTTATTTAACGTTTGTTTTCTTTTCCCCAAAATTATTTGGAATACTTTCGTAAGCACTGTTTTTCTGTTTCGCGAACTAGAACCTTCGTTCATCAAGAGCGTCGTCAAATTTGCTATTTACACATATGTATGTACATGGTATTAAATTTACATTATATATCTACATACTTTTTGAAAGGTACCTTCGTTGCGAATTTCGTTGCTAGGCAACAAACCTACGGAGTATATATGTACAATATTGCGATCAGTAGAAACGTAAGGCTTATTTTCTATCGCTGCACTGGTGAACTAGTGCAGTAAGCTAGAATGAGAAAAATATACTTGTCTTACTCTGATTTATTGCACTAGTTTACCAGTGTAGCAACAGAAAACAGGCCTATAGTATAACTCGTAGGTCCACTCCGTCATTTGTTACGTTTTGCGTCGATTCTTTCTTTCGACATTGTCCAGGGCAGACCAATAAGAGAAAAGTTGCACGTGTGGTAGCTGGATTCTGCGCGAGTGCATGGTGGAATACCACGTGATCGGGACCGCAAAGGAGCCGTGAGAGTGGACCTACTAGTTATACTATAATAGAAATGTAATCCTTTGGCCCATACTCAGAACGCGTTTACGACGATGTTAAGCTGAGACTCCATAAACGCGTTGAACTGCGGCAACGCGTGCGGGGCAATGTGTGCGGCAATGAATCAAAAGATTTCAATTTCAACGCAGGAAGCTTGCGGCAAGCTTCTGCTTGGTCGACATCTATGGAGTCGTAGCTTTAGCGCGTTGATACGTCAAGATATTAACATTTTCATTAATCCAAGACTAATAAAACTACGACTAATTAGTCTACAAGCATCTACACGGCTAGCGTGCGTATTCTTATTGGTCCTGGATTAATAAAAGCTCTGATGTCCCCGACTTGTCAGCGCGCTAAGGTCGTAAGCGTGCTCTGAATATGGGCCTTTGAGTTTTTATTACTGTATAACTGCAACGAAATTGAAGGGAATGGGTAATTGCGAGATAATTTACCGTTAAAAGTTTATAACTTCGTTCTGGAAAATGAAAATGCAGACGTACAAATTCACTCAACGGAGGTATAAATGGTGTGCGCGTTCCCCCTTTTATTGCTAATCATCGTATGACGTCCAGCACTCCGCGTTTTTGTAATCAAAGGCCTGTATGTCGCGTTCGCCGTCTTCGGCGTCATCCATCACGGTCTCGTAATTCGAGTAGTTGGCGTAATGCTATTCCTCGTCGACGATCTCGCAGCTGTGGTACTTGCTGGAGGAGTCCAGCCAGCTCTCCACACCGCTGGACGCTAGATCGTCGCAGGAAGGCAGCTCCGGAAGGGGCTCCATGCTCGGCGCACCCTTCTTCGTCAAGTTGTTCACCGCGCGTTCCTTGGACCTCGCGCTGCTGACTGCAATCAACGATCGTTCGATGAGACGATCGGTTAATTTTAGAGTCCGAGCTGAACGGCCCTGTGCTAACGCGAGTGACTAGTAATAGTAAGGGAAATTTTTTAATTTCAGGCGCTTGAAGGAGTTTAGTGTTGGATTCAGTGTTTAATCAAGATTAAGCACCTGAATTGCAAGGAATTTTTAGAAATACGCTGACACAACCTAACGTTCTACTTTAAAATTGGATTAATGGATTTTATCTTGAAACTGCCTCTCTCTTTTATTTCTCTGAATAAATATAAAGAGATTACTAAATATTAAAAGAACAGTAAGATCGTGAAAGACGTTTCTACAAATGGATAAGCTTAAGAAAGAAGTCTTGTATGTACCTCTTAAGGTAATGTTTCATATTCTAAATCTTTGTCTTGAAATGACGGGCAACAACTGTCTCGTGTCTTGAGAGTACAAGACAACCATTCTGCTCAGAGCCTTAACATAAGTCAAGACACGGCGCGGAATAGAGAAAGAGAGAGAGAGTAATTTCTTTGTTTTCAAATTCCCTCAGTGCGCATAAAACGATAATTTGATTATCTTAATCTAGCTTTAGTCATGAAGTACCGTTGTTACACGTAAGTTTAGTTTCTCTCTTGTGGATACGAGCTTCTATACTCACCGCTGATCCCTAGACCAGCGCTGATGGTGGGAAGACGAATGTCCAAGTGCGATCCCTTGTCCGTAACTATCTAAAATTTCCACAACATCAAAATATCGTCGAAGAATATAATTACAGAAAAGACTTTATATCAAAGAAAGCATAACTTGTATCAAACAATTAATAACGGTCCCTTTTATATATTTAATAAAACTGATATACAGGGTGTATAAGAGAAAACTAGATTTTTGCGATAAGGAAAGCGGCAGCTTCGAGATGAAATCCATTGATTCAATTTCAAAGTAAAAATAACACAAAAATATAATCCTCTGAAAAGAATACCTTGTTATTCATCGCGTACAGCTTCGTTGCGATATCTCGTGCTACCAGCGTGGTCAGGACAGTCGCGAGATACGTTTCCTTCACAAGTAGATATTCCAAGGCTGTCCGCTGCCAATACAAATATCTGCAGGAGCTCGCCGCTACGATGGATACCTGAGATATTGAATTTGACTTGAGTGCTTTCGATGAACTTAGAATGGAAAAGATTGGCCCAAGTCCTTACTTTAAATTTATCGTCGACGGAGGCTCGGGAGCTTTCGAATTCCGGCGAATCCAGAAACTCGCAGGGCAGTATCGGATGCAGAAAATTAGTGTCGTTCAAGACGTTGACTTTCCCAGTGAGCAATAAACCCAATCTATCTGTTTTCGTTAGATTTTGCATCGCGTACGCCTCGCCAGCATGGAGGGACATTATCGTCGCGAATTCTGAGGATACTAATCGCTTGAATTGTATCCGTGAAACCTTACGCGAGTTAAAAGAAGTTGAAGAAGAGAAGGCAAATTAATCTTCGAGCGCTCGGCGAAGAGATTTCTTTCTCGCGAGGAAGACTCACCTTGAAGGGATAAAAGAGCGTGTGATAAGCTTCCTCCAATTCGGGATCGAATCTGATCGGTCTCATTTGATAGACAATGTACACTAATTGGCCGATATTGAGCAATAAAAAGCTAAAGTTCCAGGAGAAGATATCCGGCGCGCAGATCACGTGCCAAGCCCACCCAGACAGCAGCATAAAACCTAAAAATGGAACGGTACGATCAGGAGAGGGTTGAATAAATCGCAAATCAAGGGAAATGAAATTACCAATTTTCTCACAAAGCGCGATGTCAAAATTAACGAGATATCTCAAAGCCACCGCGCGTATACCTTTTCACGGTGTGGACATTGTCGTCCGATTACTCACCTATGATCAGCACCGAATGCATGAACAAAATGCCCTTTTTCGAGGACGGCGCCGAGTACGACAGTGCGAAGCAAAAGTTCGCCAACTGGAATAAAATGTGTTGGGGCTGTTGCCACAAGCAGAGCGCGGGGTTCCCTTGAAAAGGAGAAGGAAGAATCGATGGATTGATTTATTGCTTCTCGTGAACTTTCTATTCACGTAAACGCGGCAATATTTCTGCGCGCGCGAGACGTCTTTTCATTCATACGATGGGCGGCCCTTGTTATCGCGCCTTTGTATTTTCGTTTAAAAAGGAAAATTCGAAAACCAGCTCGTTCCGAGTGCTTTTGATGGAAAAGAATTTTTTTTTTGATCGCCACGAAGAAACGAGTCTGAGGGTGCGAACGTTCTCTGATCCGCAAAACTCACCGGGAGCAGTGTTGTTGTACGGCGGCAAGGGATCGTGGCCAAATCCAGGACTCATTTTTCTCGAGGCAGAAATTACGCGGTTACGTGTTAAAATACGCTATTACGGGCACGAGGATCGACTGTTCATGTTCAGTGATATTTCTCGGTCGAGAGCTCGGTGTGTTTTCACCCCTCGCACACGCGGATACTGAAAGATCTCCCTTAGGGCGCATGTGCTGGTCCCGCAGGATCGATATTGTTTCCCGTCGGTCCGGAGGGATTAAAGGTGGTAATTTTGCAATACCGATTCGCGATAAAGAAAAGATGTGTATGATAACGGATATATTTATATATTTAGAAGGAATTATTATAATAAAACGCAACGTACGCTTCTTGTGATATGCAGAAAAAAATTTAAGAAGATTTAAAGGAGGTCATTCTAAGACCTTGTTGTAAAACTTCCCTTAGGTTCTCTTCATTTCGATTTTTAACAATTTATTTGAGAAATTCATGGACAAATTTAATTCCATTTGAACAACAATATTAAATCCGGAACTTGAATCGCTTTATAAAGCACTAAAGACGCGACGACATTATTAGCTTCGTTAAGAAGCTAATTTAAGCTTCGTTAAGAAGCGTAATTTATAATGGCATCATACCTCAGTAGCACAGTGCATTGGCTAAACATTCGCCCAACCCAGACAGCACAAGACACCCCTATGGACATTTTAAGAATATTCTTCGAGAATATTTGAAATATTCCACAGGTCATTCTTACATCTTTATCTTATGTTCGTAGAATATTCGACTGGTACTACTATAAATCTTTTTCGAACGTGGATAGAATAATTTGTCGAATATAGCGCGTACATTGTACGACTACAGGTTTCACTGCCTTTTGCATAAGATAAATGTACGCAATAAAAAATGTGCAATACATAAACTCGATGAATATTCAACAATTATTCTGAACGAATATTCCACAGACACTCTCGACGAATATTCTAAAAATGTTCTTCTTTGTTACGAATACACGATTTCTAATTGTAATAATCTATATATATATATATATTTATTTATAGAATATTCGATTGGAATATTCTGAAATTAAGAATATTTGCACTCTAGGAGAATATTCATAGAACTATGTGTGCTATCTGGGAATGTCGGTTATATTAGAAATGCATTGGTCAATATTGTCCAACGTAAAGCCAATATTGGCCATGGAATAAGTGTAAATATTGCACAATAATAATTATATAATATTAGATTGGAAGTGCGGCCCTTACGAAAAAAAAGTGTTGATGAGTATTTTACAAAAACGACCTACACTGGCCAATGCCTTTATTGAAAATAAAAACGACGTCCTGGATTTGGACCCTTTTCAAGTGATCTGTAATCGTATACAACGAAATCGTATACTTACGAAAAAAAAGTACTCAAGTTTTAAGTGTCAACCGCTCGACTGTCCGAATTTGCTCTCAAATTTGGGCGTGAATATTAAAACCTGAGTGTTCACGGCCAAATTTTTGAGAGTAAATTCGGACAATCTGGTGTTAACACTCAAAACTTGAGTGTTTTTTTCCCCATAAGAAATTAGCCAATGTTTAACGTTGTAAAGCGAGAGCGTAATCTTATTAATAATAACACGAAGGAATTTGTTCATTTTTCAAATTTGTACTTTGGCGGCGTCGCGCATCTTTCGACAGGCTAGGGATATTTCGGCGCGTCAGCGTTTTCGTTTCTCGACGTTCGCGGCACTGACCGCGATTCGACGCGCGCTTCCGTTCCGACCGGCAAGGCGCTGAAGTTACTGCGGAATCGATAAAGAGTTCAGAATGGAAGCCAGTCATAAACAGCTTATTTATCTTCGCAATAATCGGCCGCCGCGAGCGCTTGCGACGTGCGACAAATCGTTCTGGGGCTTCAAGTGAGTGCGAGAGAAAATCGGCCGTAAATATCGCGGCTCCTTGCGGCCTGGCATCCGTTTCCTTGCGCAATTAAGCGGCTGGCGCATAAGTTTACGCGTTTCTGGCGCGACTTAACCTCCCAGAACGAAACCAAAGTGCGTCCCTGAACAGCTCTTTGTCGATCTCGCGGCCTAATTTTGTATTGATTGCCCGCTCGCTCACTTTTGTTGGCTGAGAAGAGACGTCTTCTCGCCTGGCACAAGCTCCTTTCGCGCTCGCGTCGCTTAGTGATTCATTGCGCGCAGTTTTTATGCGTGTTGCAATGTCGAGTGCAATCGAGCTCCGGGTCAAGGGGCACTTTCCACGAGCGCCGACAGCTAAAGACGCTATTTTTCTTCCAGCTGCAGATGATCAATGTTGGAAGGATGGTATTGCAGATCCATTGCCAACAACAATGCAGATGCAGAAGAAGAAGACGATGAGGAGAGTCCCGAGGAAGAAGTGCCTAACTATAAGGACCAGTATCGTAACCTCAAAAGGAAGCTGAAATTTTTGATTTATGTACGTGAGGGCCATTTCGATTATCCAACGCTTTCGCCGCGCCGTTCGTCTCGCGACAATGCACGTATTGTCTTGTTGCAGGAGAACGAGTGTTTTCAGGAAGCATTGCGTTCTACGCAACGAAAGCTGCTCAAGGTGAATAGGGACAAGAGTTTCCTGCTGGATCGCCTGCTGCAGTATGAAAAAGTAGATGCGTCATTCAGCGAGAGCGATGAGACCGAATCGTCGGACGAGGAAATTGTTCGTCTCGACAATTCCAAGAAGTAAGGAAATTATTGGGAGATTGCGAGGTGGAGGAAACTCGGTCTTCAACCGATTGAGAAACTGTTGAAATCGTTTATCTCTGTGCATCGTAAGAAGACGCGATATAACGCAAGAAACGTTAGGACCGTTTCGGACTTACCGGTGAAAAAATTGAGCCAACAGGAGCAAAGATCACAGCTTGAAATTAGTAAATTTTGCCCTGGTCAGTCAAATTCCAATCTAATCTCAATCCATAGTCTTAAGCCTTTCGTCCAAGCTCCGAGAAATGTGTAGCCGATCACCTTGCAGCTTTTCCGTCAAGGATGAAAGTTGTTCGGCTACACGTTTCCCAGGACTAGAACTTGGACACAGTTCTTGGATCGTGGACCCAAGGCTTTGTCACGAGGCATGGTAGTGTCTCGCGGCAAGTATAAGCGTAGCTAGAACCGTACAGGCTTGCCCCACAATTCCCGTCGATTGCTCATTACGTGAATGCGTGCGACTTTCAGGAAGAAAGTCGAGATGAATATCAACAATCATACTTCTCATCATTCGTCAATGGTCACAAAACCACTCAGCACTAGCAAGAAGAAAAGGAGCACACCAAAAGTTGCTAAAACGAACAACATACCTATAGTGAGTGCACTTGTATCTCGTGGAATACGTTTAGAAGTCCAATTTTGTCGCAAGTCTATTGCAGCTGGATTCTTTTGCCACAGGTACAATCCTCGAATAATATAGTTCCCATGTCCTTGATGTCTGATGGACACATGACACCCGAGGAGGTAGAAAGGCACTTGGAATCTCGTCAGACATATCTGGAACTTGTGCCAGAGAAAGCACCGCCGACAGTTCCAACAGAAATGTTTAGTAACGATCCTTCTTTGGACAGGTAAGCTTTCTCCTTTGCCGCCGATAAATATTGTCTCTTTTCGACAAGAACGAAATTGTTGAAGTAAAAAAATTTTCAGTGAATCAAACGAAATCGGAGAACTTGAGACGTCGCCCAGTAATATGGGCGAAGATTGCCTCAGCGTGGACATGATGGCGGAGTGACAAACATTCGTTTATAGTTTACTCATTAATTATAAAGTGCACATATAGTTACATGGCTCTTTAAGATTATTTCACGCGACTAACTCAACTGTATCCAGTATATATAATACAAATTTTTATACACACGCAATAATAAAGGATTATCCTAACTTTAATCCCCCTTTCCAAGTACGTCTGTGAATTGCGATGTTATCCGCCTTATGTTTCGCGCAGTTGTTTGTTTATTAAGATATCTGCGGAAATTCGTCCTCGCGATGATTGAGGAAAGTGACTCGGTGGTCGGCGTTTTAAACGGCATAATTTCAAGAATAGAGATAGAACTAGAGCAGAAGCCAGCGTCACATGAAAATCAATCGGAACTCGAGGGCGTTACAGCGTTGGAAAAAGGACGCGAATTGTCATGTGATTCAGTGGACATAAACTGTCGCATTTGTTACGACCCTAATCGAGAATTACCCATCATATACCCGTGCAAGTGCAAGGTTCGAGAGAACAGTGTAAATAAGAATTCAATTACGCAATAACTTGAAGAATTAAGAACCGAAAATTTCTAAAGATGCAGAATATTAAACATTCACATGATTCCACGTATTTCTTTTATTATTTCGTCCTTAATAAATTATAAATGTCGCAATTTATGCGATTTAATTTTTGCAATCACATGTATTCGAGAAGGATTCCGATAAATACAATAATTACATAATGACAATTGGGATTAGGGAACGATGGGCGCGATCCATCTCAAGTGTTTGGAGCGATGGTTAGAAGAGAGCAATAGGAATAATTGCGAATTGTGCGGCCACGTGTTCCGGATGGAACGAATGCCTCGTTACAAGGTTCTGCGGTCCGTCGTAGTTTGGTTGTGCCTGAATCGGGACGAACATCAGACATACATTCGCAACGTGAGAACCGATCTGCTCAAATGTCTCATAATCACCCCGGTGACGATCGCGTGTTCGTACGTGTGCGTGGTGGCTGCCGATTTTTACGCTATAAATAATTACGACAATTTTCCGCCCGCACGCTGGACCGCCATACCCTTACTGTCAATGATGGCGCTACTCATCATGTCCTTCTTCGTCTGGATCTACATGGTGCTACAATCCCACCAAAAAGCATGGTTTTACTGGTGGCAGAAGACCAGTAGCGTAAAAATCGTCGATTTGATGCCGAACAATGTGGCCTTAACTAAAAACGATAAATGCGATGTTGTCGCAAATCACTGAATGCCGAGGGTAATAGAGGAGTCGATTAGGAGGCCCGTCGTTTGATGGAGATCTTTCCACGGCTCAGCTGCGACGTGTAAATGCGCACTTTGCTGCCGTCCGACACTTTCTTCACCCAGATCTGAAAAAATATGTACCTTGCGGAGATGCGCGATTAACTGGATGCTTCGAATACTTACCGCTTCGGTGCCGATTGCGGAAATGTTCGCCGAGAACCTGTTAAGATCCTTGCCTTCGACATAGACAGGCTGACCACGATGGAACCTTTAATGAAATTCGACCAGTGGATCCCTTTATATTTGAGAGGAAACAAGTTTTGAATATATATAAAGTAATAGTAGAAATAAATCGAGGGTACCATCTTCGTTCATACAATAATTTCCCGTCCTCTATCCGGGTTTCCACCAATGGCGTCTCAGGCGGCTGTGATATATGCTGAGATGGAATATTTACCGCGTTGTAATGTGGTAAAACTACTGTAAATACAGCGTTACAGTTATGCATTAACTAGAAAATTTATTTCTTACTCTTAATCTGTACATCGATTATATTGCGTTCGCGCCTTCGTCTATGTACAGGGCGTTGCAAAGTTCGCGAATCAAAGTACTATAGCTCTGGGGGGAAAAAAGATGAAAATTATTGAAACCGTCGAAACTGGGCTAGCTGTAAAATTTTGTAAATTCTCACGAGGAACAAAGAGCCGTAAACTCTCACGCTGCTCAGTTTTCTCGTACAAATCGCCAGGAACAAAGAGCCGGAAACTCTCACGTTATTCAGTTTTCTCGCGCAAATCGCAAGAAACAAAGAGCCGTGGACTCTCACGCTACTCAAGTCTTCCGCCATAGTATTTTGCATCGTGAATTTTAGGATACCAAGTAATGTGCACCTGGCTTGCGAATGGTGGTTGGCGCTTTTGAGCGATTAATCGCTTTTAAGTCGAGTTCAATGTCTTTCTCGTCCAGCACGTAATTCAGCTGTGCGGGCGGTGGTTTTCGCCGTTTCTCCACTTTCTCCGGCACTGGATCGTTGGGACGTCTGCGCAACTTTCTCGTCATTACCGGCTTCACCTAATCAAGAGGCAGAGTAATGTTAATAAGAAATATATACGTGTCACTTGAGCGGAGACGAATTCAAATACCTCCATGGAATCACCGGTGAGTTCCATCGTGTGACGGTCCGATTCGATCATCTTTCGCTTTTCCTCCATATCGGTAAGCAGATTTTCCTTGAGATCGATCTTTTTCTCCTCAAACTCCTTCGCTGCCGCCTTTTTCTCCAATATGTAATCGCGCTCGACCCATTCCGTCAGGTAGTCTCGGTAAATTACGTTCAGTCTCAAACTGATAAAGATAGCATCTCGATTAGCGCGCGCCATTGCGACTAGTAATGTCAGCGGCGAAAAGGCAAGTACCGTTCTTTATATTGCGCCTCCAATCGTTTCAGCTTACGATTGTACTCGGGATGCGTGCCCTCCTTCAACTGCTGCAGCTGCTTCTTCAAGCTGGCCAATTTATCCTGGTACACCCTGAAAGATCAAACGCCAAAACGTAATCTCCGGCTGTAGACTAGAGCGTCGTCTACAATACGCGGAGTGAGGCCCAGAACTTTCAGCCCCTGGCGTAAGGAAGCTAAAATACGGGCGTAATCTTTTAAATATTTGCAACACTGGCAACACGGAGTTCCGATTCACCGAGAGTGTGCAAGCGCAAGAGCTGAAGCAGGAGTGAGAAATAAAATTGATTTATTTCCTTACTCTCACTCCGTACTCCAGGCCTCGCTCCGTGCATTGTAGATCGACGCGTTGCGGATATGTAGCTTCGGCTTACTGTTCTTTGATCTCCGTGTATTCCTCGGACTTCCCCATGTCGGTTTCGCTCGCCTCCTCGGTATCTAAAAAAAGTTTCCGTCGACTCCGTTAATTTCTCCTGTTGCGCGCGACTTAACACAGATCGCGGGGAAGTTGCAACTTGCAAGACCGCGGGTGTAAAGTGACGAGGGAGCAGAGAATATTCGCGCAATTCCTATTTTATCCTCACCTTCGTCGCTCTCGTCCTGCTCCTCGGCGTCCCTGTCCTCCTCCAGATACTCCTCGTTGTCCTCGTCGAGGTCATAATCGTCCTGGCGGTCGTACATCGTGGAAAACGGCGAGTCCTGATACGACATCGTCACTAATATCAACTCATATCTACGCGAGACATAACGCTCCGTCGCGTTGTCGCGACACACAACAAACCCGCCTCGGTTCAGGTTAGGTTGTCCAGGCTAGGCTAGTTCCTTTTTTCCTTACGTCGCGCGCGCGCGCCGCGCGGAGAGGGTCAGGCCTGGTCAAGATGGCCGCTGTGCGTTGCCGCCAAAACTGGCGCGTCGCGCCGAGGTGCTGTCGAAAGCGGCCTGACGCTAGACGAAATTTCTCGCGACCGTCAAATGGAACCCCGCGGGAGTTAAGGTAGTTGTTTCGCGACCAGTAATGCGCAAAAGTTTCCTCCGGACAGGAACCAGCGCTCAATTATGACATATCTTGATGCAATGTTCCAAAGAATGCACTTACGATTAATACATGATATAAAGTAGATTCGGAAGATTATAGTTTGAGACGCTGTCGCCACATCTTTTACACTACACTCATGTTCACTACATATATTCTTCCCGTTTTTTCAGTTTTAACCGTTTATATCGTTGAAACGGAGCGGTCCGGAGATTATCGAGGGACTCCCGCAATCACTGGCCGTTTTCGCCGCATCGGAGATGAATAAACGTAAATATCTTCACTCATTCTATATAATAATCTTCGACAGCGCGCGAATCTTTTATGTAGCTCCAAGTCACTTTGTAATTTAATAGCAAATTTAACGTGTAGCGTGCCGTCCTAATTGACTACGATACGTGCAGGGTTGGGAAGTAAAGCCAACGGCACACGATACTTTTTTTTTCTCGTCTCCGAGAGTAGGGAAAAACGCTTTATGCGTGCCATCAGGCCGTCCTGGACTCTCCCGATAAGCAGGAGTAGAAAAAACCCTCTCTTTGGACCATCCTACGCACTGTGGACGAGTCGCCCCCGGAAGCGTCTGCAGAGTCGACATTCTTCAGGGGCACGACACGCGAGGTGGAACCAATGGACGATGCTAATTTAACAGAAACCCCGCTGTCTCATATTAGAAACTTGTCTCGTAACAGGGGACTTTCTTCTACGTTTATATGCAGAGCATTCGAAAGGATCTCGCGCGATTAAACTGAATTCGCAAATTCGTATCTTTGTTAAACTCACGCAGAAAGGCGAAATAATAGGCACGGCGGGATTTGAGTAAATCATTTTACTAATATTTATTAATAAACATTTCATATAGATTATTTTGAATTCATTATAATTTAATATATGTGTTGTTGCTGTTGTTGTAATCGTCGCAATTACAGTTTATCGTTATTTACACTATTCAGTATAAAATGCGAGTTCGAGATTACATCATCGTCGTCATCGTCATTGTCACACCACTATGCTGTTTATTATTATTATTATTATTATTATTACGATTTTTCCCATTTCTTTCTTTCTTTCTTTCTTTTTTCTCGGACACTACCTGTCATCGATTAATTAATTATCAATGCTTGTACTCGGGAAAATGGGGGGGCAGTAGGGCAGTATTTTCGTTATCACTAGTGTTGTTGGTAATTAATTCTTTAGGGGAATCATTATTCATTATGTTACAATCTAGACTAAAGTTATCGTCTAGTGGGCGTTTGTTAATATTAGGCATGTGATTAACATCGATTCCACGAACTTCGCTTAGCGTTTGCTGTTGTTGGGATTGAGCAGATTCGACTTCGGCGTTGCTGCCGGCGTCGTGGTTGTTTTCGGTTTGTGGGGGGGATGGATAATAGCCGCGCTGCTTGATTGGCAGTTGTTCCACCGGCAGTTGGTGTTGCTGCTGCTGCTGCTGCTGCTGCTGCTGTTGCTGCTGCAGCTGCTGCTGCTGCTGCTGCTGCACCGGCATCGCAGGCGGCGGTGGTGGCTGCTGCGGTGGCCGGTGCTGCACTTCTCCTCCGCCTCCTCCATCCTCACTAGTCCACCGGGCTACTTGTTGTTGAGCTTGAATAAATGCATCACTAGAAAATAATAAGATTACACGAGCCCATTGCATCTAGTCCACCGCCACTAATGCTGCATTCGAACGCAACAACATTCAGTAAATGGAGCCAATGGTGAGACCAGTCGACCCAGAAGTGGGAGCTGTTAGTGTACACGTGATTGTTCTATAGGAGCTTTACGATCGGGTCGCTGCTGTGCAAAAGGTGTATAGCGTAGAATCAGAGAGGGTCACGAGGTTCGAATTGAAATGACAAGTCGGCAAGGTTTCTTAGAAATTTTGATTAATCGCTGAGCAATTGTAGCTATGACGAAGCCAAGGTGCAACTGAATTGCTGAATTATTCTTATTTGCGGCGTAGAAAGTTGTACACAGTCTCCCTTGATAAAATTTTTATTTGAACTGATTTATATGCTTTATCTCGATTAATTTAAATGTTTAAACGATGAAGATTGATAAACTAAATAACGGTTGCTCTCTCTCTCTCTCTATTAGAAAATCAAGGGTCTAAATTTTAAAAGTAATCAATTTAATAGTTAAAAGAGAGAGAGAGAGAGGTTGTTGTATATAAATTTTCTAGTAATCAATATATTTTTCTGATTTTTATGATATTTGACTTTTAAATTTGACAAAAGTCATTCGTTTCATGCGACTTAATTTTAATTCCAATTAAATTCAAATTGGGCTCTATAGAGGAAATATCACGTACACACATTAATTGAAAAGTTAATTAAAACATTAAAAGCGCGTGCGAAGCCTTGTGACTCATCACTACGATTGCTATTGTTTTAATTCAGCATTCCTTATTCTCATCAAACATGTAAAGAGAAACTTCAGATAAGGATAAGTGCATACATCAATCACAATGTAGATTATTTGATTGCGCGAAATAGACTGGAAGAAGTCTCTTATAGTCGCTTGAGAAATTGAGAAATCCGTCAACTACAGTTTAAAAGAGTTTTTGCGATGCAAAATACTAGAAGCGACATGCACGAAATTTAGTCATAATCATAAGCTCGGTACTTGTCCCAGATCTGTTTAGGTATTAAACAATTGCATGAAAGTTAATTGAAAGACAATTAGTTGTATAAGCATAAATGATCAATATTTGGTCTACGCTATTGCATGAAGACTATCTAATAGATTTGGGACGTATTTGTATCTCGAGTTCACTAGCCGCGCGTGTGTGTTGTTGTTGTTGTTTCGAGCAACATTCATACAACGCAGAAGCAAATGAAAAAGCATGCAGACCTTCGTGTGCATTTAGCTTCTCTCTGCAAAATTTTATACGTTGCATTATTTTTAACCAACTGCTTTATTAATTCAATCTGCGATGCAATTGCGAACGTTGCAACTGCGGAATTAAATATCGTATGCCGAGTCCATTTATACTTTACGTAGATTTCAGATTCTCCAGTCGATAGTATTGCGACAGTTCTCGCAATACCGACAATTTTCCGTTTTACGTAGATACACATGTTGTTCTTGAATACCGCGCGAGAACGCGGAAAGATCTTTCTAACAATTACAAATGTAAACTTTATCTCAATCTAAAATCCTGCTTCCTCTCAAATTGTTATCAAATTGCGCCTTTTGCAAACGTGCGATACACTTTTGTACTTGTTGTTCACGATCTTTTTCATGTCAGCTTTATTTCGATTTGTCTTCCTTTTTTTTTGCAAACAACACATGCACCATCCTTATCTGAGATATATACATATATGAGTTATCGTGGGATTCGTGATAGAGGGGAGTGATACAGACGTAAGCCGATAACGTGTCTCGGTGACAGTGAATAATTGCTACTAGTGAAGCCGTAGGATTTTTCGTGACGCAGAGTCTTGCAATACCTTTCACAATCGGGTGTTTCACCCCTAGTATTTGAGCCTCTGTCAGGATCGGCAGTTTCATAGATACCCTCGTCCTCGGGGTGCATTTGATGGGAGTGTTGATGGGTGTGTTGATGATTGCCGTAAGGACTTCGGGACGTCGGCTGACGGTATCTACCGTAGACGAATCTACTAGTGTCCTCGTCGCGGCCGCGGCTACATCTTCTGCTTCTACGTGGGAAATCCAATCAATTCCTGCATGAGTCCGCGGGGCCACGCGACATTTTCACTCGCGCTGAGAATTTCATATACGCTATTCCGAATTTTATTCCTGTCCCTTGACACACTTGACAACTTAATTTAGACATTACATTATCAAATTTAATCATGAAAAAAATACTCGGGTGTGATTCGTCTCTATCTATTCTATCTTTTCGTTTCTTTTCGGATAATTAATCAATTGTCTATATGCTCTTCGTGTAACTCGTAGTGTGCTCATTTCTTTTTTTGTCTATGTTTTCTAGAATGCGGCAACAGCGACATTCACACCTGGGTATCGGTAAGTCAATTTTACTTGACACTAAAAAGTTTACAATTCCGCTGCTATTCGGCGCCGCGTAATACTTCAATTGGATCACAATTATTATTATAATTACGCTTGTTACGTCGATTATTTAGTATAAACAGACTCCGCATCTTATGCCTTGGATAAATTTTTGCTATGCGTAAATACGTATTAACGATTTATTACCAAGTGTGTATCCCTTTCTCGTTATCCTTGCGCGTGTTTTACTGTAATCTACGGTTTCGCAAAACATCGAATATAGTGTCTGATATACATAAATAAATGCGTCGAGTCTGACAGCCTTCTGATGCGCAAGATAGAAAGCAGAATAAGATAATAAGTTAACCCTCTCACATTCTATTATAATTATTTCCCTTACTTTGATACAAACTGCTTCAATTTGCATATTTTTTCGCTTTGATCTCTTGCTTTTTATGTGCTTGCTTTAAAACACGGAATATTATAATTTTGCGTATGTAATTTTTTATGAAAATTTTACTCCGAAAAAAAGTTAATTTGTTTTTTGAAGACCAGCGATGGAAATACGTGATATTAAAACGAGGCGGAGAAAAAACATGCAACGTTATTGATTATGCAGAAATTCTACATAAAAATTACGTTCAAGTTAACGAGTTCGATTATACAAAATTGATATGAATTTAAAAGTGTAACTTACACATTTACAAAAATATTTTGATAGCTGTATGAGAGGGTTAAGATAATAAGTTGGCGAAAGAGAAGATAGTAAGCGATTCACAGTGAGAGTTATGGCAGCGTGTGAAATGTCTGCTGACAATAATTGTGATTAACAAAGTATGAAGAAGCTCAAACGTATTTAGCCAATCGTTTCGATAAGAATACACCGTTGAATGTCTAATTTACAAAGTATTGCTAAAACGTCTAAGAATAATTTTTCGTGTAATAAACATCCTCATAATTCGAAAGTATTATCTTAACGTTACTTCGAAATTAACGCTCATTGTCTGAATTGAGTTTAAAAGCTTGTTTGTCATAAGCGCGCGTATTTTTCTCTCATAAGTTCTTACCCTTGTGATGACTCGCTACAAACGGAAGAATCGATTCTGTAGTGTCGATCCGGCTCGCCCTCGGATGTTCGGATCTCTTCGGACCCGCTCGGACTCATTTGGCCAGTCAAGTACGGTCTGATGGCAGGATTAATCATTGAGATCTTGTTGATTTCACAAAGAAACTCAGGACTTGGTTATATCAAAATCAAGTTAAATCAGACGATTGCCGAGTGCATATGCTAAAATAAAAGAGTCCCAATCCAGCGAGAAACGACTCGTCGACCGATGTCGAATCGGAAGTAATTCAAGGGCTTCGACATCTATTTGTTCTGAGACTTGATATTTGAGCGATACCGACTTTTAAGACTCTGTAAATCGAAGGATCATCTGACGGATCTAAAATATACCTTGCGGCTGCTCGGTGCTCCAGTTGACGAATCAGATCCTCGAGATTACGTATACGAATGGTGCTGCACGGCGGCTGCAGCTCAACGTCGTCCTCTTCTTCCTCCTGTCCGTTGTCAATGCCGTTGTCCTGGCCATCGGTGTCCTTGCGGTACACATCGGGATAGCCGCACTCGGCCAGCGACTTGCGTAGCGCGTCCTCGTCAAGAAGGTTGCCACTGCCCGACGGGGTGCCCACGAGATCGCGACGACTCGCTGCGTTCTTCAGCACCTCGAGTATGTCGTCGTGATAGCCATTCAGCTGGTTCAGAGTTCTTTCCACGTGCTCGATCGCGCCTCCACCTAGTCCTGGCAAACACGTGACTCGAGTTACCGCTTCATAGAAAGGGGATTATTCGGTGCAGTTTGTGTTAATCCTTTCGTGCGCAAATTTCCTTTCCCGGTTTTCTTTTTCGAGATTAAATTCCTCTTGCGTGAACTGATACTTTATCGTTGCGACATTGATTATTAATATCTATTTTATTAATCCATTTCCTCACTAGCTTCTATATGTATAGGAGACGAAAATGGTTCCTAGTCTAGTTTATTTGCAATGCAAAACTTGAAAGTAATCTGGAATTAATCAGCACACGAAAGAGTTAAGTGATTATAAAATCCTTGAAAAGATAGACCTTTTATGAATTAACCCCTTATATCTTAGGATAATGTTAAGTCCCAAGTCTCTTTTATAATAATGTTAGTATTTATAACTACATGTACACTGAACTAATCTGTGTTTGCTAATCGTTTTTACTTGACGATGAAAATGAAGTATACGAGAATCACTGATTTATAAAGGGTTAACGTTCGTGAAGAATCAATGCAAGAAGTTCGAACTCGCAAGGGATCGAAAGACAACCGAGCGCAAGATTGTGGATAATTTTACAGTTCTGCGAACAACTAAAAGTATTTTCTTAGTCAAACAGAATATCGAAAGAACCAGATACTTTCATTTAAATTTCGTACTTTGCATACATATGTATTATACAGTGAAAACATATAACAATAGTTATGCAAAATTATACAGCAATAATTCGTACTGGAATAATTTTCTAAATGAATGCTGAAAGTTACATCTTTTCAAGTAAAAACAGGATTTTGATGCCAAGTAAGATTAAATAAGACTAGTCATTACTCAACATAATTTTGGATTAAAAGTAATAGAATTGAAATATTTGGAGAAAATCTCAAAATTCCTTTTTCGTCATGACTCTTTACCATTGCACCGTCGTATGATTCTTTGCTTATTACACAGAAAAAAAGTGTCAGATCAACTCGGATATACTCAAATTAACGCGTTCATTGTTTTGTATATACGCAACAATCTATAATCTTTTTAGAAGCATTTAATAATCTTACATTCCAACAATATTACAGTCTTATTGAAGTACTATAATTGTCACTTGAAGAATATATACAATTATTTTGACAAAGTGATTTTAATCATTATAATCTTCAATTTGAAAATATGTTATTTTCTGTCCAATACTGTTTCCTTTCCATTAAAAAAATTATTCTTAAATAATAAGCATATATTGTTTTTTTGATTGAATTATATATAAAAGTAAGTTTTTCTTCCTTTAACGTAATATAATCTCATTTCAAGATTTTCACGTTGAAACAAAACATATTTCAAACGAAGAACACTCTTTTTTTTCTGTGTACTAAGCCACAAGTTCGGCTAGCTATCGCTTGATCTTTCGGCTCGCCAAAGTTCGAGCCTCTTTCAGCTATTCTTCACGGGATATCGTGAGTCATCATGCTCACTTGTTGTGTTACTATCAGGCATTACAATACCGTAACCACCGTGTTTCTTTAAAATTCCCTTCTCAGGCAACTTTGTGAGATTGTTTGGTGGGAGATCAATGAAAGAGACAACCTCCTCTGCTCCCGTACCTCCATCTTCCTCCTCCACGCCGAGCCTCTTCGGCTGCGGTTTATGCTCCCTGAAAGATCGATCAGATCTACGTCGAGGTTCAATCTTTCTCGTCAATACTCTGTTAACTTTTATCTCCGCGAAAACAAATGTGCAGAAACTTAATCGTGTTACATTTACCTTTTAAAGTATTAAAACATTACCATAAAAATAGATCTTAAATATTAAACTCTCGTGTCCTCCAATATTACAATTATTCTTGTGACAACATTGTTTTACAAATCGAAACAGGATTAAGTTATATAAAATTAAGTTAATAGATCCCGTGGAACAGTATTATTAACAAAAATCACACATACGCATACACACGCATACATACATACATACGGATCTTAGTTATTGCTCGTATTTTTCTCTTTTTCTTTTCTTAATTAAACAAGTATTCAAATCTGACAATGACTGATACGAAACGAATCTAGATAGCGGGTTTTATCTCCAGTAGAGTGACATAAATTTCGAAATTTTGATTTAGCTGTTAACAAACAACGCTTTTATTCAAATTATATTTAAATGAAATTTAATTACAATAATATATGTATAATACACAATAATTGTGAGCATTTGCAACAATTGCTGCAATTCATAGAATTTGGAACCATGTGTTTCGGAAGTTGCAATAACTATTACAATCACCCTATCATTATTTGCTTGCATTTGATTGCGTGAATGGACGGTGATATAATATTGTATTTAATGATGTTTTTGCGATGAAAGGGATGCTTGAAATGAAAAATCAATTTTTGAATGAGTGTCTCGGGGGGTTCAATGTATAATTAACGACTGACGATTATTTAGCTGTACACAGTATCCCAGATTCATCAGTCATCTTCGAGAGAAAAAAGATGTGGCGATAATACTGGGACACTCTATACAAGTGCATCTATTGTCATGCGATAAACAAAAAGTTACAGCGGGATAAAATAACAGACATTATATTGCGATGAACAACAATAAGCATGCGAGGATCGAATCGTTCATGTTCATTTCGACCGCAGCGTGTGCAAAGTCAGCTGAATTATTAAAAACGTGATTGTGCAGAAAATGGTTTCGTGCGAAATACAAGAAGAGAAACAATTAACGAGAATCCAGGGCCGAATTAATGAACATAATTACATACAAACAAGAATTTTGACTCTCTAGATTGCCAAAAAGTTGAAGCTATAATTACAATAACCGTAACGCGACGAGATTATTTCCTGTATTTAAGACGCAGATGGATCGCCGATCAAGACTCGTAACGATAGTTGACAAAATTATGATCCAAGTAAGGAATAACAGTTATTAAAATCGTACGGGTGTACTGTGCAAAGGATAAATATTAATGATTTCAACCTTCGCCGAATTTTAATTAATAATTGTTATATAGGTAATCGATTTTTATGGCTAATTAAAAACAGAGGACGTTTTAATTTTGTTAATTGTGTACAATTTTATATTTTTAATCGTCAACTAAGAAATGTCATCGAGATGAATTTGCTTTTACTTCAACGAGTTGCTTTTGAGAAAGACGGTCAAAGTGATTCCTTGATTAGACCAAACCTGACAATTGAAAACATGACGGCGACACACATGAGACTTACTTGACTCTTGGCCCGTCGGCGACGATGACGTTATTCGGGTGTCGAAACAGCACGCGCTGGGTCTCGCCGCGGCTAGAAATATACTAATATAGGCATGCCGCGGCTATTCTTATTAACCCTCAACTACCATGTGCACCGTTCATTTAATTCGCTTTTAATCTTGACTCCGTGGAGAAACGTGTTCCTCCTTCCATTTATATTTGTAAATTTATTTGTATATTTGCAATATTTATTTTCATTTTTAAAATTGTTTATGAAATCATATACTACTTCGCTTGTTACAGAATGAGCGCATTTCAATAATTCGAAATTTCAACAAAAATGGAGAATTCAATTCGTATATAAATTTTCTCTTTATAAAATTAACGAGTAGCTTGCTTATTATAATTATTTCTGTTACATTAAGCTTCACAAGTTACATTGAAAACCTATCATAGGTTATTTTGATGAAGAAATATTATAATAAAACTTTCAGAGAAATATTTTAAGATTCTGCCAATTATAATTCATGATCTAGCAAAAATAAGTAAAATTGCAAATGGAATTAAATAATATTTGTTACCACGTACAATTGAAATTATTTCTGCACAAAGATCAGCGCTGCACTTTTCATAATAATTGAGGGTTAATAAAATTCTGTGAGTGTAATGCTATCTTTCACTTCCTTACTTGCGGAATAAAAGAAATCGATCGAGCAAGGCTCGTAATTTTCTGTCGTTCGCGCGCTTCGATTTTATTATCGAGAAAAACACCGATTAACAATTAAATAAATATAAATATATAGTTTATTAAGGTCTATTCCGTCAAATTTCGATTTTTAAACTGAAAATCTCCGAATGAGAATTATAAAAAAGTCCAACTGGACTGTCGTAACTCAAATTATTATCAATTTCTAATAAACCGAGATAAAGCTTTATAGAAGACAGATTCGTATTCTCATAAAAATATACAATTCCATTGTTCTATATACACATAGTAATCCATTATATCTGCACATTTTTGTATAATAGCATAAACTATTTGTAATTCTTTAAAGATTCGATACTTT